TGATTATATGGTGTCATTGTTGTGCAATCAAAAAAATGTGGTTATAAAAAAGTCAATAAAGAAAAAACAGCCACCAACAGTAAATTAGGCAGAAATATGAAACTCTTGTTGCCTAAACAATTTAGTAGCTTTGATAGAACTTTTTTATGTTTATCAGATGCATTTTTAGAGCAGTTTAATTCAGTGGATTTTTTTTATGCCTAACATAATAAAAGGCTAGTAAATTTGCCCAGAGTGTTCTTTAAAAATTCAAAGCATTATCGCAAAATATATATCAAAAGAAAAATTTGTCACCAAAAATCATTCCTCTGAAACAGGGCTCAAACTGAAGACTCAAAATCACCCCGGAGTGGATGAAAACATCCCCAACAGTATATAAGGGTTAAAAAAAAAAGTTTAATTTTTATTTGTGTTAAGATTTATTTGGAATTTTAGTATTCCAATAATTAAACTGCTTACAGAGTAACAAAGTTACTATTCAGGTATTTGTTCCTTTTTTATTACTAACAACAGTTTGTAATGAGAACTTAAAAACAAGTAATAAGGTTGTCTGTAAAAAGCCAAAGACTGTGACATGTTTTTTTTTTTTTTTTTGCTGGGAAATTTAAAAATATATATAATATTTTAAATTTAAATTGTTTCTTGTATGTTGCTGGCTGCAATTTACTTGATAGCCACTGGTGTCACTAATAATAAGGGCTTTTAATTCATTAAAATCCACTTGTTAAGTCATAATGCATAAAATACTGTTTGAGAAAATATTAATTTTGACCACTTTTTAGTGATATATCACACATTAAAATTAATTTTCTATAAACATTAAGGAGTGCACAACACTCTCTGGACTTACTGCATCAAATAAACCAATATTTTAACAATTTATAAAAAAAGAATCACTTTCTGGCCATCGGATATTAGGCATGGATAAACATATATTGCATTTATGATTTTCTAAAGTATTACATCACCTTGTAATTGTTCATAATTACTATTTGTTGAGTCTCTTTATACAGTTTGATAGAGCGCTTCACATGACGTCACACTCAACAAGTGAATAGTATCTTTAAAGGCATGGTTCACCCATTTACCCACCTTTCTCCACTTTTATGAGTTTCTTTTTTCTGGTTAATCGAATTAGAGATTATTTTGAAAAATGTCAGAAACCGGTAACCATTGGCATATGTAAGGGGAAAAAAAAAAATACTATGAAAGTCAATGGCTACTGTTTAATGAAACTCTTCAAAATATCTATTTTTTTGCTCAAAATTCAAACATGTTTGTTTATAACAAGTTAAGGGTATTAATTGTGACGTTATTTTCACTTTTAGGTGAACTACCCCTTCAAGGTATGTTTTTATTTATTTCTTATTCTCAGCTGCTTTTAACAATCACCTGTTGTTTGCTATCATTCAAATAATATCTAACATAACTACTGTATGTGACAAATTATATTAAATACAATAAATAAATAAACAAATCAAGCACAAAGTTCAATTTAGGTCAAATCAAACAAAAAACGAAGCAGATTTCTTCTTATCTAAGAACCAGCGCTCTTATCTAAATCTTCAACATCACGATTAAATGCAAAAGACCTTTCAGTTGAGTTAATAATAATAGAAAAAAATCTTCCTAACAAAACAAAAGGCCAGAGATTGTCTCTTGTCTTGTCTCTTGTCCGTTCTGTCATTCACTTCCTGTTGATAGCGACCATATGCACATTTTGAATAGTCAAATGATGGAGCGGTGCATTAGTCAGGAAATACGGTCATGCAAAAAAATCTTCACAGCCATGCAAATAAACAGGACTGAGAGGACTTGTTGGAGTTGTGCTGAATTCCCTGTAACTCCCCTGATATCAATGTGTGCCTTTCAGTGGCTACATTTGTAGGAAAACTAACGGGTTGTGATTTTACACCAGCAGCTGACATTTCCACACTAATCTACATTATACTTCATAGTCCTCTTCCCCCAGGAATAGGGAAACACCATCTGAAATCAAACCACATTAACCTGTAGGTCCACAATGGATCTGTAGTGAAACTGAGAATGTTGTTTTGACACTGGTCACAGTCCAAAGACATTAAGAGTTTTGGTACACGGGTCAAAAATTTTGTGTTAGTACTGTTTAACTTTCTTCAGTTTAGTATAAACTGGCTCAAATGCTTGCAAGCTGGAAACTGTGTGATCTGAATTACACATTATATTAAAGAGGACAGGGCATTACTCGTCAATTTATTGTTTAATTTCCAAAAAAACTATTAAAAGTGAAACCACAAATCTGCTCCATTTAAATTTACTGTCGCCACTCCAGGCCTGGAAAACAAGGCCTGCTTAGGTGAAGGAGACTGATAATCCAGGCGTTTCTTTGTAGAGGACAAAAACATCCAACCTAACCACTTATTTAGCCATCATTTTATTAACAGTGGTTAATCATGATTCTCATTCCCCAATTGTTTATAGTTTTTGTCAGTGTAACAAAAATATATGATTGTTGTAGTACTTCTAAATATTACAGTAAATATTATTGTATATATAAAACATATTTATCATTACTGTTTATTGAAATCATTACTGTATATTTATAAAATACTGAATGTTTATATTAATATTACTGTACATTTAAAAAATATTACTGTAAGCATTAAAAATTACTATACATATTACTGTATATTTAAAATGTATTTAACATTACTGTATAAAGTAGATATTACTGTATATATATCAAAGCTGTATATTTATATCAATATTAGAGTAGATTTTTAAAACAACACTGTAAATATCAACATATTACTGTAAAATATTACAGGATATTTAAAAAATATTTATCATTACTGTATATCTAAAACATTACTGTTTATTTATTAAATACTGTTTATTTATAAAACACTACTGTAAATTTAAAAATATTACTGTAAAATAATACTGTAATTATTACTTTACATTTAAAATACTTTCAACATTACTATATACTATAAATATTACTGTGTATTTATAAAATACACTGTATTTATATTTATATTACTGTATATTTATTAAAATACTGTATGTTTTGGTAATATTACTGTATATTTATAAAATACTGTTTTATTAATGTTACTGTATATTCATAAAATACTACTGTAAATATCAAAATATTACTGTAAAATATTACAGTATATTTAAAACATATTTAACATAACTGTATTGAAAAATGACTGTATATTTATAAAATACAGTATATTTTTATTAGCAGTACTAAAATTAAGTTGCTTTCCAAAAAGTTTAATTTCTTTAATATTTTGTACCATATTTTATCATAAATTAGACAGATTTGTTGGCATTTTTTACAGTAACACAGAAATTTGCCTCAAGGCGCAATGGAGGGAAGATGTAGAAACATTCTAACTAAAACAACAACAACAACAAAAAAGGTCAAAAACAGCTAGAGGCAAAGGGAAGGGTGTTGCATGGAGATGTACAGGGATGGACGTAACTGAATTGTCTGTAAACCTGCAGTAAGAAAACAAACTCCTGGAGGAAACCTAAGGGAGCGGTTCAGGGGCGGAGGACACACCGTGGCCTCCTACTTTGGGAGGAAACAGGCTTCATTTCCTCCTCTTTATCCCATGGACAATGGGCTGCTTACGTGTTGGACCAGCAGGGAAAATAGGCTGGTTAAGGAACAAAAGGGTCACTCCAATCAATTGAAACTGTCCTTGCGTGGAACTATATAGATGCTTTAATTATGCATTACATCGATGGCAGAACAATTCTGCAGTTCTTCAGGAATGGTGGGGTGGGGGGGACTTGTCCTAGAAGTAGATAAATCGACCCTACGGGGAGGAACTAAATGAAGCCGACACTTTACCTTCCAAGTGAATGGAAAAAAAGTGTCTGTGGAACAGAGGGAGCCATTTGAATAAACAGAGAGGGAGTACTGTGAGTCACTCTGCCTGAAGCCAAGGGGAGATGAGAGAAAGAGCCAAAATACAAGCTCACAAATCTCCCAGTCCAAAGAAGACTACAGAGAACTTGTTGTATTCAACTGATTTGTGAGCAAATGGAAAAAAACAAAAAACAAAGTCGTGGTCAGTGTTTCCCATTAAAGTCCAAATCACTTTATAAAATTCATAGTTAAAACTGGACAAGTCCTGTAGGTTCCCTTCAAAGGGAACTGTTTTTAGCAAGTTCAAGACATTGAGATTCTTAGGAACAGAAGAAGCCAGGCTAGTGATGGTGAAGCTCTATTTTAAGGGGCTTTGAACTCATGCCACTTCCCGGAGCATGGGAATCTGATAATCGAATCATCTCACAGTCTGATTGGCTGATAAAACCTTCAGTTGTTAGGCACTTATGCAAATTTGAGGTCATGAAATGCCTAGTCTGTTTCTTGTCCCATTAGTGCCGAAATGGGACATTCTGTACCAAACTAGGACATTCAAAGTCCATCTGATCTTTGTCATTAGGAGCTCATTTCAGTTGAACCCAGGTATGGTCCACCTGATGTTTCTTAAATTTAATAGACAGTTTTTAGATTTACATATGCAATTTTCAATATACTTTTTCCCCTTCTGACCTTTCATGGGCTTACATACTGTATACTCATTAGCAATGCACTCAGATAATTGTAGTAGGATTTTTTCATTGCGAATATCTGTCATTTGGTAAGGAGTTGCTGCTCGTAACACAGCATGCCAAGAATACATTGCATGTGTCTGTGGGTACTGTGTATGAGTAGATTTTTTTAGTGTCCATGACAAAAAAAAGCACCACTACAGTGAAAGACACCCTACTGACCTCATTCAAACACTAAATATGTATATACAATGAAGAAAGAAATATAACTCTAATGGTCCCAAAGGTAAGTTCCAAAGGATTCCCCATGTAAACTCCTCAAGACCAAGATCCAAATTCTGTAGAACTTGAAGTACAATCTCTAAGGGCAAACACACTTCAAAATGTTTAACTTCCGTTTGAGCTGTGCAGAAAGTGGTAGTGCAAAAACACTGGGTGGTGCTTACCTTCTGATCCACAATTGAGCAAGCAATTTGTTTGACGTAGGCCAGGTCTGCAGTCTGGGGTAGAAGAACAGACTCTCTGGTCAGTCCAATCTGTATGATGAAGGAGACACCAGCTGGAGCTGGAGGCCCAGGCAGCATTCCAGATGCCCCACCGGGACCCGAGACAACCCCCATGTCCATTGTAGGGAATCCTGGGGTTTGAGATGCATGGACAGAAACTGGTGTCCCCTGTTGCAACACCACTGACCCAGGTGGAGATGGGCCACCCGGGGGAAAAAATACTTGGGACATGGGTCCCGGAGACATGAAGGGACTGACATTGGCCATACTGAAAAAGTCAAGAGAGAGAGATAAGACTGGGTAGTGTGAGGTATCAAACTCACCTACACACTCCAGCAGTCACTCACTCATCAATACTGACCGTCCCTGCTGTGTGTGTGCCGTGTCTCCTAAAGTTCAAAAACAAGTGATCCCTTTCCAGGAAGTGGCTCTTCTTTCTTGTTGCCCTCTCTTTGACGGAGAGGTCCTCTATATGGCTTTCATTCCAAGCAAGAAGCAGGTGAGAAGTGCAGATAAAGTTCAGTTTTGAAACTAAGTGTTCCTCCACCTCCTCCCCCTCCTGCTTCCTGTTCCCTCACGGCTCCAAAGCAGCTTTGAAAAGAAAAAAGTCCAAACTTCAAGGAAGCACAACGGGCACAAACAAGAGAGAAACTAACAAATGCAAACAAGCGTTTGTAGCACTAGGTCTGTCTTCTCAAGATGGCTTCCACATACAGGAAATAAACCAAAGAGAGCTCCTGGTTAGGCTTGCTTTGCAAGTCAGGCTGTATTTCAGTTTCTTGTCGTGTTGAGCTGTGTCTGCTGTGCCTCAGTGAGAAAACTACTGAGGACACTCCCTCTAGCCCTGCCTCCACCTCCCTGCTGTCTGAAGCCCAGGAGGAAGTAGGATGACTGACAGATCTCTCAGCCAATCAGCAGGAGGCAAAGCTGTAAAGGAGAAGCTCTATGAGATCATGCATATCCACTTCAGTCTCCTCCCTGTCCCACACACACCTTTTTCCCTCCCTCTAAACTTTTATGTCTCTTTCTTTGTATAACAGTTTGTCTTGTTTACTCCCCCACCCTGGAACAATTTTGTCCTCTTCTCTGTTTTTTTTTTTTTTTTTTTTGGTTTTGTTTTTTTGCCTGGGCCCCACACTACCTTTTTACTTATTTCCCCATTACCAATTCTTTGGTAATTCTTTCCCCAGTCCTATTTTTTTCATATCCTACAGGGCAGGCAAACAATTGATGTTTATTCATTCATTTTCTTTTTGGTTTAGTCCCTTTATTAACCTGGGGTCGCCACACGAACCACCAACTTATCCAGTATATGTTTATGCAGTGAATGCCCTTCCAGCTGCAACCCATCACTGGGAAACAATTAATGCGTGTACCATTAACAATCTTATTTGTTCAACCTATGGGTGACACTATAGTCAGAAAAAACTAAATAAAAAAAGTAGGAAGCTCTAGGTTTCCCATGAATGAGAGAAAGAAGCATCAGTTCGCAGATAACAGGCAACAATGTATTAATGGCCCAGACCTTTTAAAGGAATAAATTGGAGACTCTATAGTTCAAGATGAGAGATAAATTTTTTCACATTTTAATGAAGTTTATCCTGTGTTTGAACTACATTGACTGTCAGGGCTCAGCTTTCTGCAATCAAATTTCTATATTTAATTAAATTATATCTCATGATTATGAAGTATGAAATTGGGACAAGTTTACATCCCTGCACCAATAAATGGATGATTACGAAAGATTACATTTACTGTACACTTTACTGTTTAATTTCCATGTGCATGCATAGATGTATATTAAACTACAAACTATAGTTTAATTTGACCTCACTTTTAGGCCATTGGCAGATCCAAACATAGTTTACATGAAAAAAAGTGAACCCTTATCTATTGGTTAGACCCCATTATATTGGGGTCAAATTTATATTCACTTACTAATATATCAGATATGAATCAGTGCAAACTATTTTCCAGACACCCCACTAGTTTTAACATCCTTCAGGGAGGTTCAAGCATCAATCAGAAAAGCTGTAATTTCTACAAAGTTTTAGATAATATCATAGACAAATTAACCAAATTGGATAATTTTCAATTCAACTTAAGCATATAACAAGCAGGCATCTTTAGTTTTTAAATGTCCAATAGACATCTAATCAGTCATCTTGGCTTTAAACAATTTTGTGTTTAATAGACATCTAAACATAGACAGCTAGGCTAAAACATCTAAGATCTAACAGACATCTAAGAATAGGCCAAAACTAGACTAGTCGTCAAAAACAGAAATGAGTAACTACACAAACTTTGTCTGTCTATTCTAGTCTATTGACTGTCTATTCTAGTCTAGTTTTGGGCTAGTTGTAGATTTTCACTGACAACCCAAGTTTAGCCTTGTTTTAGCCAAGCTGTCAACAGTTAGATGTCAATCAGACGTCTATTAATCACAAAACTGATTGCTGGGTAGCTTAGTACTACATAAATTTTGAAGTGGGTGATCTAGTGTTATTTATTAGACTTAAAGTAGTTGACCAAGAGTTTTTCTTTTGCACTTTTGTTTCAGAACTGTATTGAAAACAGTACATTTGCATATATTACTTAAACGTTAATTTGTCTAAATCCAAAATAAAACTCCATCTTCCAAAACAGCAATCACATGTGCTGAACATCAACAACAAATAATAATTAAATAAATAAATAAATACCCAAAGAAACTTTATCAGACAGAAAATTCAGACCAGACAAAAATAAAAATCTCTGTACAAAATCATGTTTTTATTAAGTTGTTTTGGATGTTTTTGACATACAACACAAAACCTGCAAAGCAAAAAAATAAAATAAAAAAACAAAGAAATCAACAGTAACAAGGAAAATATGTAGTTCGATACAAGCTAAAAGCAGTTCAAAAATATGTATAATAAAACAAAATAAATAAAAGGCTGGTCTTTTTTATCCCTTGTAGTTAGAGGATATAGATTGAATACAGCTTAATATGATGTACAAAATATCACACAGTGATAAATTGCTATTAAAAAATAAAAACACATAACAAAAAGTCCTTTTACCTTGGCTGTGGACTGAAACTTTTTCTTTTTTTCTTACATTTTCATACAATTTTCATTTTTAGGCTTTTACACAATCACAAGCAAGTCTTAAGCCTAGCAAAAAAGGTACTACTGTTGTCTTACACCTTATTACTAGTAATTATAATGATAATATGTCTAGTAAAAAAGCAAATAAGTGAGAAAATGGGAAACTTACATTTTGCATTGGCAGCCTGTTAATTATAAACATTTCCGGTTCCTTTCCTTTGTATTTTATTTGTATTTTTCTTTACACAGATTCATCCTCTCTCGGTAAGGAATGTGTTTTGTTGTTTTAATTTCAAGACTCGTATTGCATCAAGGGGTGCAGGAAAAGAGGTGTACAAAAAAGACAGCAGGACTCGTCTAAACACCCATGCAATCAGCAGTCTTTGGAAGAGAAATTAATGGTGCAGCAATACATGGATGAACTGAACCGTTCGTCTTACGCTACGCATGTAGTGTAGCATAAAGTTAACCGTTAGTGTGCAGTGTGAAATTTTTAGGAAAAGAGGTAAGCAGCAAAGAAGTATGAGATTCCACTGAACATAAGTCTGTGGTACGTGACATTCGTTGATTTGGAGAATAACCCCAAAATGAATTGGTGGTCTCGACATTTTACAAGAGACACAACATAACCTTGCCCATTAACACAATCAATCCATAAACTTCCCTACGCTTGTAAACTCAAAAATTTAGTCTGCTTTTCTTGCCGAGGACAATTCCTCTACATAGGAAAGCTTAATTTCCAAGCTGGATGGATGGACTGACACGACTCCATTACGCTAGGGTGCTCTTTATGGCCCATCATTCTTTCTGTCACTTCGGACTTGCCTTCTGGGCACTCATCTATGACCACGGAAAACCAGTAAAGGATAAAAATACACACCTCCAAGTGGAAAGTGGCTAGTAGAAGATGTGACCTTCCATCCCCCAAGCTTGGAAGCAGGAATCTTCCAACTAAGGTATCTAAAAGACCAGGTTAAAGTCTGACTTTTCATCTCACATTCTTGATATATGCTTGATGAACAAAAATCAAGGTGGCACACTTTTATTTCCATTAAAAGAGCCATTAATAGTGTTGCGTTAAGCTATTTTACCCCAAAATACCTTCTTCCTTTGCCCTAACCAAGGGTTTAGGACCTATCAGGTGGAAACAAGTAATGGATAAACACTTTGAAGTGAAAACTGGCTACTACAAGATGTGATCTTCAATCCCCAAAACACAGAAGGAAATCTCCAACTAAGGTCTCTAATAGATCAGATCAAAGTCTGACTCTTCATTTCACATTTTTGATTCATGGTTGGTGAACAGAAATCAAGGTGGCACACTTTTATTTCCATTAAAAAAGCCCTTAAGAGTGTTGCTCTAGGCTAGTTTACCCTGAAACACCTTCATTCTTTGCCTTAACTAAGGGTTTAAGACCTATCAGGTGGAAACCAGTAATGGATAAACACTTTGAAGTGGAAACTGGCTACTACAAGTTTGACCTACGATCCCCAAAGCACAAAAGAAGGAATCCTCCAACTAAGAAATCTAAAATATCCGATTAAAGTCTCATTCTTTAGCTCAAATTCTTTATTCCTTGCTTAGTCAACAAAAATCAAGTTGGTCCTTATGAGTGTGATACATACTTCCTTTGCCTTGACTAATGGGGGACAAGAACTCTAGTAAAAAACAGTAAAGAATTGAAAAAAATAAACACTTCAAAGTGGAAACTGGCAACTACATGATGTGACCTTCCATCCCCAAAGCTCGGGAACAGCATTGCTCCAACTAAGGTATGTTAAAATCTGATTCAGGTCTCATTCTTGACTTCTTGAATCCTTGCTTAGTCAACAAAAATCAAGATGGTCCACTTTATTTCCAATAAAAGAGCCCTTATAAGTGTTGGTCTTAGCTACTCTGAAACACCTTCTTTCTTTGCCTTAACTTAAGGGTTCAAAAACGATCAATTGGAATTTTTTTAAAATTCCTTTATTTTAATGCTTCAGTACTAGACTTTGACCACTTGGTAAATCATCCTGGTAAGCTTTGACTAAGGGTTCAAGACCCATTAGGTGGACTTTTTTAAAACAATGTCATCTACCTAGACTTGATCTCCCAGTCACTTATCTGACAACTGGGGTACCAGTTTACATCACCTAAAATCAACTTTTGTGCACCACTTTTCAGAAAAAATTAACAAGGTCATGATCATGGAGGTCCAAAAACTCATAAATTGACATTATAAACTGTAGTGAAACACTGTAGTTTGTTTCAATCTTCTGGCAACAATCATAAACTAAACATCATCTAGTGTGGATACGGAGATCATCATCTTAAAAATACCCTGACAAAACCTTAAAAGCCACTTCGGCACACCAGATGTACTCGAAAACTCCCAACCCCACTGGCTGTATTTCTGAAAAGCCAAAGAACCGTACATGATAACTCGAAGGGAAAGGCGAGATTTGATACTTTTACGGTCCCTGATTCAGAGGAAATCTTAGCACCAAGGTTGTGAAACAAGTGTGCTATGTACAGCGCATCCTGCTTATATACAGAAATGAGTTTTGCGTCCAACTGCAGATCTTCCCAAGAAGTCCTCCGCCCGATATCGAACACTACAATAAATACACTACTCAACAGTCACCTGACTATTACGGATAAAAACGCCACACGATTGGATATGAATGAAGAAGTGGGTGAGTGTGAAAGGCTTGTGCTGGCACAGTCCCACACGCAGATACACGTGTTTGGTTTTAGTTCAAGATGTACTTGAATAAAATTCATGGAGAAGGTGATTATGAAAGGCTGAAATGCTAAGGCTCTTAGCTGTGAGGCTAAAGGTAAAGCTGTGTTTGTACTTTGCAGCTAAAACGCAACCAAAACGAACTCATCTAAAGCAGTCTTTGGAATGAAATGCATCGATGACCTCACGTTACCAGGCAACAGTTACGCGAGGACATTAATTCACAGATTAGCACTAATGCAATTTACATTGAGAAAATGTGCAGGCTTGGGTAATGGCTTGTTTACCGAGAGCCTTCAGATCCTCAACCTAAACCGAGCATGAAATTAAAATCCAGGGTCTGTGTGTATGTGTGTTGTGTTGTGTTAAGGTGTGCGTTTGAGTGCGTCCATCCGTCAACAGATTGGACATCTCTCACAACACATTGTGCAGATTATTAGTAGTGTTAAAGTAAAACTGAAATCAGGACCAGAGCAGCAAACTCATTAGTAATAAAAGCGGTAGAGTTTGTATCACAACTTGTGAGGCATAAATGAACGATGGAAATGTTGTGTGCCTTTTACACAGGCAGTGATGTGTAGGACATTGTTCCCGTTTTGAGTAAGTTTGTGTATGAGTGTTTATGTATGTGTGTGTTCGGCGTTTCACTCTTTTGGCCCAGTAGTGAGGGTGGATCCCCTGAGAAGAGATAAAGCAAATATTAGCCCATTAACACATGCTTTCATGCTAATATGACTACAAGCAAGGTGCTGTAAGTGATTTAGGCTTTTTTTCTATTTAAGACAGACAAAAATAGCTGAAACAGGAGAAAAGAATAATCAATTCACTAGTTTTGTAAAGTGATAGTTCACCCAAAACGCTAAGGCCAAATCCCCTATTTTTGTACCCCTACCCCTTGCCCTTGGCTCTCGAAACAGAGTGGGAAGTGGAAAGGCTTCAAAATGTACCCCTAAGAAATGGGACAACACTACAAAACAAGCAGACTTCATCATGTCATAGCAATTTCTAACATTATTTGTGATCGACGATGGCAACTGCTATCATAACCATATAATGTGACAATAATGGCTCGTTTCCACTGACTGGTACAGTATGGTACGGTTCGGGTTGGTACGGGTCACCTTTATCAGGCTTGCGTTTCCACCACAGAGGGTACCTTTTTGGTGGGCGTGGTGTACGACATTAAGTTAAAGTCGACGTCATGCTCGCTCGAATAAATGTCTACAGTAAGGCTGTACGGGTCGCTTACATATCATATGAGAAGCACTTCTGACAAAACAGATGCTTCATACACATAAATACTTGTTTATAAATGTTTATTACTAACTTTTCTATGGACAGGAGTTGATTATAACTGCGGATCAATGACAGTGCAAAATAGGATACTGTAACGTCTGTAATTATATAAAATAAATACATAAATGCAACATATATGAACACATACAGACCCTTACGGTCTCCGATATATTATTAATTACAGAAAAACTACACACATCATTCATTTAGTACTTATTTGAGTTCAAAAACACATGCAATATAGCCCACAGTCAGCGCAAACCTCTCATCTGTGTCTGTAATCTTCACCAGCACATGTAAGCTCTGTTAGAGAGTAATTTTGTCATTCCCGGTTCATAATAGTCCAAAAGGCAAAGATAAACATGGCCGTTTGTTCATGATTTAGGTTGTTAAACAGTTTTGCTTCTGTGTTTTGCCGGGTTTCTCCTTTTTTTTTTTTTTTTTTTCTCGCGTTTTACTCTCGCGCTTGTCCTTTACTTTCTAAATGGGTCAGATGGTGGAGACACTTCAACAATCACGTACACGTTATCATCATCAGCTTAAGAAGTTCGTTATATCAAATATAGACGCGATCGTGCGCTCCCAGAAGCAAGCGAATACCGCTAGCACTTTTAGACGGGCTCGTAAAGCAACAACAGCACACGGCAGATTTTGTTCTTCTTTGCATTGTGTCTGTTCATCAAGATGACGACACGGTTTGTTTGAGCTCTTGTCATCCATTTTTGGTACCCTTTCGAAAGGGTGCCGAAAAAGTGGTACGGTACGGTTTGGTTCGGTATGCTTATTGACAGTGGAAACGGCCATAAAAGCGTACCAAACCGAACCGTACCGTACCAATCAGTGAAAACGAGCCATTAGATCATAACTATACTGTGCATTTACACGCTGGTCATATTCATCTATGTAAACACACAAAATCAACATTAACATTATAGCAGACATTGTAAAAAGCTGATACCCAGCCACTAGACTTTTCTGACAGGCTATTCCAGTGTCATGGAGTGTCAAATGTGAAAGTTTGTTGTGGGACTACTATACAGGAGTTATTGTTAGGAAATTAGGGATAGCGAAGTAAAAAAAAAAATTAAGCATGACGGTAACAATGATGGCATGACAAATAAAAAATAAAAAAAACTCATTTGTGCATCTGCTGACTTCCGTGTGCAGCCATGCTGTTGTTATAGCTGCTGTATTATGGGAAATTTCTTACCTCTTGGTTTTGAGTGTGGTCCTAGAAAATCTCAGTTTCAAGGGCTATCTAGCCCTAAAAAGAATTGGGACGATTCTTGAGTAAAGGGATTGGGTAAAGGGAATTAGGTAAACTAAAGGACTAAGGTGGAGAATTGGGATTGGGAGTAAAAGTGCTGTTGATTTACTCACATTTCAGACTGACGTGAACATGCTAACAACTTTTAACATGCAAACAGTTTTAAATTCCTAACAGCGGCTAAAAAATAAAGCAGAATTGAAAGTTGAAAGTATTTTATTTACATAAGTTAGTAGTTTGAAATCTGCGATTAGCATTTGCAGTTTAGTACTTAAATGATTTAACATTAAAGTGTGTAACATAGAAAAGTGATCTTAAGTGCGTTTGAAAACATAGTCATGAAGAAAAGTCTGATGCTGTGTTCACACTAGACGTGGCTCACACCAATAAATCGCGCGCAAATAAACGCCTGATCATTTTGAGTTTACTCTCTTCATTTGCACGTCAATTTCATTTCACATTAGACGCAGATTTATGTAATGTGCAGGGCTTCTGTCCACCCGGTGACTAGCTTCACTGCTAAATGGCTAACATGGAATGAGAAGAAGGCGAATGAGGTGGCTCAAAATATGCGAGTTAAGTGTTTTGCACGCTTGATGCATATATCTGGTGAATTACTGGAGTTGGAAAATCTGAACTCTAGCAGACATTCGTAATGAGTCAACCAATCATGAGCTTGCTTGTAGGGGAGTGATTATGTCGTAGTGCCTGTTGTTGGGAAAATCCTCTTGCAGACACCGACAACAGCTCATCAAACTGGGCTCAGCTCGGCTAGAAGCACTGCTGAAAGCCGGCATCATGAATGTATAGTTTCTGGAGGAGTTTCCTTTGAAAGGATTGTCAGACATGGCGCTGAACGAATATACGCTGCTTTTCAGCCTCCCTAAAGAACATAAACACAGCTAATCTTCTCAATAAAAAATCTATGTTAGCTATCAATCTATCAAATCTCTCAACTTGCGGCGCATCATTCGTGCGAATCATGCCGCAGGATGTCTATTTGCATCTTTGCATTGAATTAACATGGAAATCACTCACGCTAGATGCTTCATCCGCATCCAGTGTGAATGCAGCAAGGAATAATTTAGATTTTTTTGAAGAATGTTAGAATATTCTGAAGAATGCCATCCATAGTTATGGAACAAACATACTGTAGTATTAAAGTCAACTTCAAATTAAATTCTTCGTTGTTTAACAGAAGAAAGAAACTCAAAAAGGTTTGGAACAAGTGAAGGGTGAGTAACCGATGACAAAATTTTCAATTTTGGTCAAACTATCCCTTTAAAATGCATTTTCGTCAATCCAAACACAAGTGGCCCACACTAATTATAGGTTCTGTAAGAATTGAAATATTGCAAATATTCTGATGTCTTTGACAATTCAAAACATGAGCTGAAAACAGAGACTGGTAACTTCACAACTCAGCAAGGGGAATGCGGGAAAAACCAGTTCCTGCTGCATTTGCATCTGAGTCTGCTTCATCCCCCCAACTCACACATATGGTCATTTCAATGTTTGAATGTTCTAGAATTAACCAAACTGACTTTAACTATCATGTTTGATATCATTTGAAATGTCTCAGTGCGATTGGTACAATGGTCTCATTCTCTCAGAAATAGACATAATCAGAACAATAAATATATAACTTCAGGCATCTTTTGAACCACTGTGAGGGGTGTGACACTAAGTGTGAATGCCTTTTGTTATACATTCACACCCCCTTCCTTGAGGGAATTCTTGGATTATTTAAGGTAAGGGCTAAGAAAAACTTCCTAATTCTGCCTAAAATTCTGCCTAACCAGATCAGCCCATAACATGGGGTCTGCCCCATGTTATGTATATTTCAAAGTCAGGAATGCATCTTTTTCATCTTGGATTTATCTTTGATAATTTGATGTTTTGTATTGATCATTTATGAATTGACTGATTGAATTGGCATAATACATTTACCTGACTAATAAATTGTAATGTTTGACCATATTTTGCTCACTCTGTAATTATTAATTCAAGTAGATTACGCTGTATCCTTGTTTCCGCACGTCTTGCGTCAGGTCAGTAGACGGACTAAAATCCAATTGAGATGGAGCATTGGCACACTAATTGTGTTTTAGCGATCCGGCTGACTCTTGATATTGATTCATGTGTACTTAGGTGGAAAGGGCGATAACTTCCGTCTAGGTCAACAAGGTGTTGCACGACTAACCTAGATTGGGTACCCGACCTTTGTTTGAAGGTAATATTATTCTAAATTAAGTTCATATGGGAAACCATGGGCTTGGTGAAAACCAAAGTTACTATAGAGTCCAGTAGTCGGGTACATTTATATTAATGCCCTAACCTCTAATTAGAAATGATGATTGTCTTAACTCAAAGGTGTACATCTAAGCGGGACTAACTAAAGTATTTTAGAACGAGCGCGCTGGTAGCGGCCATCTAAAGTATTAGTCAATTTACCTCTGTTTAATATTCAAGACTGACCGGAGTGTGACCGTGAGGGACGCCTTCGGCCGAGGCGATTTCTCTGAGCGACATGAGCACCCGAATGAACGGATGTAATAGTTACTAGTGAAGACAAACGGTTCAAACATTTATCTAAATTACATATTGATATAATCTTCTTAATGTTTTATAATTGGAGTCAGATAAAACGAGGATAAATATATTAATATTCTAAACCACCTCATACTAAAATTGGAGTCAGATATGAGTTAAGTTTAATATAAATCAACATTGTGCACTGGAAAGACCGAACATGCAGTGAACCTTCATCCACCAGTGGACACCGGCATTGGGCCAACTGGGTGGACCTTACAGTTCAAACAAGTTCTGAAAGTCAAGCTTGTCCACTTTCAACCACTAAAACACACTCTTGATCGAATTGCTTTTGTGGTGTCAAAAAATGTGGTGCCTATTGTCAGAACACATGATTGCTGCACGGTATGATTGATACTCATTGTGATAAATCAAACAAAATCAATTTCTGTCAGTCAAATCACAAACAGCACCTTCAAAAACTTGGTTTTTCTGCATTTGGATTTACCGGTGAGAAAGTTAAACAAAGATCTTGGCGAGAGCATCGGCCCCGGCGCTGGCGATGAAGGGCTGCGACGGGTGGAAGGCCACGTCATGAATGGCCTCATCATGTTTTTTCCTGTGCGCTGTGATCTCCTGCACACACGTGCGATTGTCCAGCATCCACAAGCGCACTGAGCAGTCATGACCTGACAAACACACAAACCACAAGAAACAGATGCAGCAAATTAGGAGAGTGCAGTTATTATTCATTCACAGTCCCTTTATTCTTCAAGAGTCGCAACAGTGGAATGAACCGTCAACTTATCCAGCATATGTTATACACAGCGAATGCCTTTCCAGCTGCAACCCAGTACTGAGAAACATCCATACACTCATTCACACACATAAATTAGGGTTAAGCGGAGCACCTGTGGTAGGCAACCCACACAAACACTGGTAGAACATGCAAACTCCACACAGAAATGCTAACTGACCCGTCCGGGACTCAAACCAGCAACCTTCTTGCTGTGAGGCGACAGTGCTAACCAGCCACCGTGTCGCCCCCACAGTTATTATTCAAATAATAAATAAACACGATTACCATTTGAATTTTAAGGCTGCAAATGAAGTGAATTTTCACATTTAATATAAATAATGAGCACAATACCAAAGCTTGCATTTATAGCAATATACAATGGTTGGTGCTGTGGAGCAAGTGATAACAGGTTAATTGTATATAAATGGATTTACTTTTTATGAAATGTTTAAACTGTTAGGATTAGGTTAGTTAAACTGGATCATTTAAACTACCAGCACAATGAGAGATTGTATGAAATTTCAAACATCTAAACACTGTTCTTCTCAGACTTGCATACTTAGGGCTAAGTCTAAATCCATATTATATCCAAACACGCATCCTATTATGCCTCATATAGTGATGCATACAGTACTTCTCCAAAACTCTACAGTTGGACAAATCTAAACTTGTTTTATTAAAACAAATGCAAAAATGCATATAATAAATTATATTGGTAATAATAATAATTACAACAACATCATACAAATGCAAATTGGCATGAATAAACTGTAAAACGTGCCTTAACACACCTCCTTTTTAGACCGGCACACCAATGAGTCCACAAAGTGGTGCAAATGGATTTGCTATTTGATCAACGTGGTGCAAAATGTGAAAATTAGATTTGAGCTGGTCTGAAAATAGCAACAAATCGTGCCATACACGTCTTGCACCTTATTGTGCCGGGTGTATGATAGGGCTCTTAGTTTATAATTAGTGCTGTCAATCGATAAAAAAAATGTAACTAATTAATTGCACCTTTTTTAAAAAATTATCGCGATTAATTGCATTTAAAATACTGAAACTTGTAATTTTGGCTATTTAAATGTAAAATTAATGTAAACGCAAGAAAAAAAATATTTAAATTCAAAATATAATTGTTTAATAGAATTTTTGTTTAACTTGTAACACAGATTTCTTCAAGTAAACAACATACCCACAATAAACCATCAAGATCCTGGCTTGACAGCCATATTTATAACAGAAATTAAAACACAGGCATGTTAATGACATTTAAATTTCAAAACAATCAATGCCAATAAAGAAAACATTGATTTCCATGTTGGACTGCAAAAAAATGCCAAAATACAGGAATGGCAGATATGGAAAATGAAAAATTATAATAATAAACTATAGAATATAAACTGTTGCACTCATTGTAAAGTTTTATTGCTGTGAGTTGAGAACATTAGTTATAGAGTAGAAACAATTTTGCTTAATCCTCCTTTACATTCATCCAGTGGCTAAGACTAGGAGTATCCCGCAAGTGCACAGAGACTCCCAAAAGCCCGCAAATGAATGATAATTTCTCGCAAACCAGTCATTAAATACATTGCACACCCCCCTCGCCCCTACTCAGATACGTCGCTCACTCCACCCCTGACACCCCTCAACGGGCCTGACACAGGCACACACACACAGACACACACACAACGCGCTGCAGACAATTTGGCCCCAACGGCCTTTCATACTGGAGCGACTCCCCTCAGATTCAACACGCATGATCACATTCATCAAATTTGCTTAAACTAAGCGTCCTAAAGTATTACTGTATTTCACAAGGATTCTGACACAACAACGCGAATCATACGCTTTCATTTCGTTTAATGAGGAAACACGCTAAACTTGGAGGGTTCATGCTGAAAGGCAGAGTAATGCCCTGTCTTTAACAGCTCACGACTTCACCAGAGACTTTGAGCACATTCACATAAGACACCAATACTCCGATTTTAATATGATTAAGATAATACTCTTATTAAAATTCTACCGTGTAGCCTTAAAAGGAACCTTACCTTAAAGGAACACCGAGTCACGAAATGCGGAGGATTTTCTTTCTGTTCGCCATGCGGTATCAACTTACAACAGAAGTCCAAAGTTAAAAATGAAACACCCGAAATTGCATGAAACTTTGGAGAGCCTGGTGATGCGACTAGTTGTTTTATACTGAAACTTGCCTTCAAAAAGTGCTTCCTTGGTCTTATCCATATTTATTGCATGTTGAACACACGTCCACCACAACAGGAAGTAAAAAAACCTGCAACTGCGTTAATTGCGTACATTTTTTTAAACGCGGTAATTATTTAAAATTAATCGCATGCGTTAACGCGTTAATTTTGACAGCGCTATTTATAATACAACGTTTTGCTAACAATTTACCTTACAAACTGCATTATCAATACCCACAGTGAGAAATTGTATGAAATTGAAACATTAGAATGGCATCTTTGGGCACTTTTAAAAATAGTTTACAATAGAACAGTTTGCTTCTGTTTACATAAGGTAAATTATTAAAAAAAAGGCTACTCATCATTTAAAACTGTAGCACCCATTGTTCAACTGAACAATGCATCTTACCACACAGTAGAATAGTGCAATTTACAGAAACAGAAAAGTACAATTTTAGAGTTGTTTGCAGCTGTTACACTATATGAAAAGAGTCTGATTCCAGTGATTCGCTGAGGCCAGCTTTCAGCCCACTGCTGAAATTGCAGCTCTGCACAAGACTTTTGGCCAGTGGAGAAATTAAAATTGTCGTGCTGAACTGAGTCTGGTTATCTCAAGGTATTTTTTTTCACTCTCCTATTGGTAAAGTTTTTTTTTCCCTCTCCGCTGTCGCCACTGGCTTGCATGGTTCAGGATCTGAAAAGCTACTCATTGATGAATTTGCTCTTCAGTGTTTGGACTCTCAGTAATGATTTCAAACCACACTGAACCGAGCTAAACTGAACTGAACTTAAACACTAAAGACTGAACTACCCTGATCCAGTTACAATGACCATTTATGTGAAGCTGCTTTGACACAATCTACATTGTAAAAGCGCTATACAGATAAAGCTGAAATGAATTGAATTGAATTGAATGAAAAAACATCACAAAGGTACCAGGAGACAACTAATGCCATAACTCATTACTGGCAGTTAATTTCGCTGTGGCAACCCTAGAATAGGGGGATTATGCCGAAAAGAAAATGAATGAATAACTCACTACTGTTTGCTCTTTGTGTTTAATTTCTTAATTTTTATAAACAAATTTGAATAAAAGTTGGAGTTAGTTAATATCTTTTCAGTCCCTTTTTTAACTAACACTCACTGCATTTTAGCAGTAAGAAGCTACGATACAGAATATTGAGCTAAAGCTTGACTACAAAACTAAATCGCAAATCAAATCAAAATTGCAATTATCTGTCAAAAAAAAAAAAAAAAAGCAACATGGTATATGCGGAGCAAGTGTTTCTTCCCAAACTGATAAACTTCCTGTGAGGGGTAATGTGACTTTTTCCATTTTATACGGTTCCTTTTACAGCATCAATGTTGTAATGTAACTAAAACAAAATCAGTTAAATAGACTTTTGCATTCATTTATTTGCTCAAGCGCAGAATAAGACAAAAAGCAGTTTACTCGCACGCACCATTGAATATGCTGCGGTAAAATAAATGTTCATATTTTAAAGACAAGGAGATGAAAAATTTAATTTAATGGAGTGCTTCTTGTACAATCTGACATAAAAGTTTTAATAACTCATTTCTGAATAAATCATTAATAAATCATTCAAAACTGATTTATTTTATCTGTGCCATGATGAAAGTAAATAATATTTGACTAGATATTTTTCAAGACACTTCTATACAGATTAGGCTTAACTAAGTTAATTAGGTAAACTAGGCAGGTTAGGGTAATTAAGCCAGTTATTGTAGAATGATGGTTTGCTCTGTAGACTATAGAAAAAAGTTAGCTTAAAGGAACTAATATTTTTGTCCTTAAAATGTTTTTTAAAAAATTAAAAACTGCTTTTATTCTAGCCAAAATAAAGCAAATAAGACTTTCTCCAGAAGAAAAAATATTATTAGACATACTGTGAAAATGTCCTTGCTCTGTTAAAGATTATTTGGGAAATATACATAAAAAAATCTGAAAAAATTCAAAGGGGGGCTAAAAATGTATATACAGTATGTAGCCTAATATTTGAATATACATATATATTATATTCTATTAAATACTCTATTGCTTAAACTGATGAAAATCGCCATCCCTAGCAGAGACGCCATGTTGTTGAAACCTGTCACATTTTTATGAGAATGGTATTTGTTGATATTGATGTGTTTTGATTGTTATATTATTCTCTTATGTCACACACTGTGTGTATTCACTTACTGCCGGAGATGAGGTAAGTGCCTTTAGGGTCTGTGGCAAGACAGGTAACAGCATCCAGGTGAGCCACCATTGAATGAATCACTTTCCCTGTGGAGAGAGCAAGATGTAAAGGATTATGTCATGCAGGATATTTCTGATACATAATATTGTTTTAGAGAGGTCAGACATTACATGTTCTGGCCCAACCTATAGGATAACATTGCGTTTCTAAATGCAGCTTTTACAAACTTGAATCATGAGGTAACTGCAGGAACGAGTTTATGACAGCCTAACTAATAAGTAAAGCATTACAATTTTATTAAAAGTGTCAAAATATGGCAATGAATCATTAAAGGGATAGTTCACTCAAAATGGAATCTCCCTCAAGTGGTTTCAAACCTTTTGAGTTTCTTTTTCTGTTGTACACAAAAGTAGATATTTTGTAAATTGTTAGAAACCTGTAACCTTTGACTTTTATAGAAAGGAAAACAAATACTATGGAAGTCAACTAGTGGTACAAAGGATCACAAATCTCATGGTTTGGATTATATAAAGGTTTTTAGACATGGATAAAAAATAAATAAACAAAATAAAAATATTTTTCATTATTCGTATTAAACAAAACGCAAAGGAGACAAATCTAATTTACTTTCATTTATTACAAAAACAGCACTGCAAGACACTTTTGGTTTTAACAAACAGAACTTAGAACCTGTAATTTTAATAAAAATAAGATGAAGAAATAATCCGCTGAATAAAAATATTGAATTTTTTTTTACTGTTTCTACTACTGTTACTGATCACGCTAAATTTTCAATAAATGATTCAGATATTCACTCCTAAAACTTTATGTTTTATTGCTAGATGGACCATTTTTGATGAATTTTTCAGTGGCATATTCTTGATGGCTGCTACTGGTTAAATAAATTAATTGCTGCCTACAACTTTCATTTTTGAGCATCAAGTTAAATGAATACGACGGTGATTTTAATATTTACCAGTGGTGTAGTCGGGGCCATACCTACATATACTCTGTATGCCTACTTTTTTTTCCAAAAGCTGTTTTATGGTATTATGACTTCTGATGATCAATAATTGCATATACCCTCGATATACTCACTTGTTTTGCTGATTAGACTTCCCTTATTTTTGGATATTTGCATCACCTTTAACTGTATACTAAAGGTTATTTAACTAGCATCTTAATTTGTTGAAATTGGTGCATTTTTGTTTAACTTGAGCCATTTCCCTCCCTCTGACGGCCACAGCAGCTGTGAGAAAATTCAATGAGAGTTTTTCGAAGATAACAAGTCAACTGTCAACTGAATGATGTCTCACAGAAACATCAGGTAAAATTACAAAACCGCATGGATGTCACTTTAGCCCCCTAAAAAGTTAAGCGATTTGCTCATGAACTCTACACTAAATAATCGACTCAGTCTATTTTTAATTTGATATGAAAACTGCAGTAGACTTGAACATAATAGAAAATATTTTTGAAAAAAGCTGAAAACCTTTAACCACTGGCTTCCATGATATTTGTTTTTCCTTCTGTGGAAGTCAATAGCTACAGGTAAGTGATGTTAATAAATATATATTGTTAAAAAATTAAAGAAACATTGACTTTTGTCATTTCTTTGACTACTTTTATTTAAATTTTGGGTTAAGTGGGTATTAGTACACCACCTTTATTTAGGACTACACCACTGATCTTTACCATAAACATCAGTAATTTTCTCTAAACTATAAACTGTTATCCCAGTACTTCTGTGATATTTGACTGTTTGTAACATTATAATTAACTCAAAAGACTGAAGACTGAATCTCTTTCTTGATATTTGCATTTGTTAAACACAGATTTGAATGCAGCAATTCGAAGGAATAATAAACATGGAAATCACCATCGTTTACAATTTATGTTGCCTGGATGTTGAGATCCTGATCTTTTAATTAATCGTGCAGCTTGCACTGAATGCATTAATGTGACAAAACACCTTTAATAACCTAAGAAACCCACCATAACTTTTTGTCATGATTATATTTTACAGAAAAGCCTAAATGCTATCATTTTTGTGATTGAATAAGGTGATTTCTCTGTGATAATTACAATTTTAGGATTAATCTACGAAAATATATATGTATATTATTCCGTGGGTTACACGAGTTCTGAACCGTGGGTTGTGACCCATACAAATTACAGATCAACCGTTATCCATTACACACCTAAACTTAAGTTTTCAGCATTTTTCTAAATATCTTCTTTTGCTTTTAACAGAAGAAAGTTTTGTGACAAGTGAATGATGAGTAAATGATGACAGAATTTTCGTGTTGTGTGAACCATCCCTTTAAATGAATAAAGCCATTTTAAAATTGAATTAAAATGCAACAAAAGAAACAACTGTGAAAAAGGGTTGATATAGTTACCTAAATCTAAAACCTTAAAATTATCCACTGTTAATCTACAAGTTACTTAGAATCAATAAAATAACTAATTAATATTAACATAATAACTTTCCACATTAGTTAAGACCAAATAGATTAAAAAAATTACCAAAAGTCATAATTTAAAGTATTTCTGTTACAAGACAGGCTGAAAAACATGTGAAATCTAGATTAACCTCACTAGACGAACATTCAAGCGTCCACACAGCCACAACAAACCAATAAAAGCAGCCTAATGTGCCTGAATACAAAGCCACAGGTATCACTCCACTGACTTCATGCTTCCAGTGCATTTTCTGCGCAGGCTAATCTTTCACACCAACAATGTCATCCTCTTCTCTTAAAGTACTCTGGCTTTAGAAACTGGCGAGTAAAGGTTGATGCCTGGCCCAGATTCAATTGAGGTTTATTTAATATTTTTTACACTAAAGTTTTTTTTTTTTTTTTTTTTTACTGCTTTTGGAGGTCTGTTGTGATTACACGCTAGCAGAGTCAAATAGCTTTGGTGGTGTATTTACAGAACCGACAGAGCACAGCTGGAAAATACACAGCGTTATTATTAACAGAAAAACTGCACTCCACACACGGACGCACATTGGTTTTTCATGCTTTTAACTGTAGACTGTATATTTTGACAACCAACTCTACGCTCACAATAAAACATGCTTTTACTTTTTCAAAATACTTCATTCTGGATCATTTATAAGCCGTTATCCTCATGGGGTTCAAAAATTTTCATACAAGGTTAAAAAAGACTGGTATTGCTATACTTGTGGGGATGTGATGAATACCAAAAGCACACACACCTGTGTTGTTGTCCAGGAAGCGGATGGTGCGGTTCTCATGGGCTGTAATGGAGATGGGTTGGGACGGATGACTGACCACACGGTTAATCAGCTCGCTGCCTGCAGGAGACATGAACAAAAACAGTATTTTAGTATTACTGTGCAGTAGATGACAAATCCATTAGAAACTGTCTTCACAGCTTCATAGACCAGCAATCATATTCAAGTAACATTATGATGCAGGTCAGGAATTATTTCACGCATTACATCATATAATATTAGTTATATTTCTTCCTATATCTATTATTTTTATGTATATATATATATATATATATATATATATATATATATATATATATATATATATATATATATATATAATACAAATAACAAATTACACCTGCAAATAACACTACTCGTACAGCCTTCTCAACCTTCTGTATTACTCTGCCCACATAGAGTGACAGCATATCAATAAACTCACTACAGTTCGACAAATATTGCACCTGTTGGACAACATATTGTACTTTTGAGGCTTTTTTAGGCAAGAATGTAGTTGTTTAGATTGAATCTATGCAGTTTATCTATAGGGATAGCGACTGTTTTTTAAATATTTATAAATTCTGAGATTCAGTGAGTCGACATCCATCAGCCTGTCATACTGAGCACAGCAAAGACAATTGACATTCTGCCACAAGATGGCGACACAGACCACATAATACAGGAGTGTCCAAACTCTGTCCTGGAGGGACGGTGTCCAGCAGCTTTTAGCCTCAACTCATCTCAACACACCTGCAAGGATGTTTCTAAAAAGAGCTTGATTAGCTAGCCCAGGTGTGTCTGATAGGTGTTGGAACTAAACTTTGCAGGACACTGGCCCTCCAGGACCGAGATTGGACATGCCTGGCATAATAAGTGCTTAAGAAGAAAAGATTGGCGTATTTTCAAACTGAAAATACAGCAGATCAAATCATTTTAAAACAGGTAAGTGACATTCTAAGTCTATCTCTTTCTTTTGTATGTTGTAGTGCTGTATTTATACCATAGTAATCTAGTAGTGCTTGCGTTGCTTTGGCTTTTTCGGGGTTAATTATTCTGATCTGCAACAGAGATATACTGGAAAATTTCTGTAGAGTGATGGAATTTCATGCCGTTCAGCCTTATAATGTTAAAATGTGAGCAAAATCCCCTGTTTTGTCATCACTTTAGATATAACGCTAAGGAATCATTTAAGTCATAGCTGTAAAGTGACATTTGAAGTAGCACAGATTTCTGCTGTTCTGATGTCAGCTGCAGTTGCAAATGAATGGCAAAAGTAAATCCTCATACAAAAGGGTTTTTGATTTTTTTTTAATATGATTACGATTGTGCCGTCAAACTGTTCGATAAACACAATATCACACTCATAGCAGTGTGATTTGGCTGTACATTGTCTCCGGTGGGACATTAAGGCACTCTGCCCGTATGTCTCCCACCAGTGCTGATATACAGCCACATCGCACTGCTACTCATGTGATATTGCTCATATATATATATATACACATACACATGCATGTGTGTGTTTGTGGTGTGCACATGTAATAAGTCAATTCTAATAAATAATTCTAGAACATTTAAAAACAATGTCAACATTACTTTTAAATATTCAATTCTAATAAATAATTCTAGAACATTTAAAAACAATGTCAACATTATTTTTAATTATTCAAAGTTTAGGACATTTTTACATAATAATACCTATAACTATAAATACTATATAAAACTATTTTAACTCATCCTTATTTATTCTGTTAAGTAATGCTGATAATAATAATAATAATAATGATGATACATATGATAATAGTTGACATGCACATAAGTAATTTAAAATATTTCAGAAGGCTTATTTATGAGAATTACTTTGTGTACATTTTTGATTATAATATGTATAATATGATAGATTAATAAAAATAATTATATTTCTCACAACTAACATTTGATTTGCTTAAAGTTTTCATTAATTTTAGCCATTAACCTGGCAAACAGAAACAAAACAAAAATATGTACTGTTTATCTCGCAATAAAAGTGTAGTATGAATTATTCATTTGCATATAAACACACATATTACACAGATACACCCTTTACACATCTTTAAACTGCTAAAATGTAAAATGTAAATATAAATATAGCAAACTACATAGCAATCAATCTATTTGCATCCTTCTTTAAGGATCATATATGACAATCATTTAACAATATAACTGAACAATTCAATTAATTTATAAACAATTCTATTTTCCAAAGCCTTTCAAAACGTGTTTAACGCAGAGTAATATTTTTCTGGATGTCATTTCCAGTATGAACAGCCTTTTACCATCTTTAGTCTGAGTCTCCAGGACCATGATACTTTGCTCTGTGTTAAGGTCATAAAGCAGAGTCTCGCCCCCATCGAAAGACACCACGACCTGGGACGGGTCTGCATTTACAAAGGCAACCGAGGTGGGAGTGCCATGTTCTGGAAAAACAAAAAGTCAATTAGCCAAAAAAAACACACACACTTACAGTACAAACAAACAACACTCCTCACCTTTCTCCTTGTTGAAGACAGAAACACACGGGGAAGAATTATGAGGGTCCCAGATGCGCACTGTCCCATCGGCGGAGCAGGAGGCCAAACGCTGTAGGCTGGAGGAGAAGGCCAATCCCCAGACAGCGTCCTCGTGGCCTGACAAAACACTACTCTCCACACCAGGATCTGAAAATAAAACACTGTTACTGGATGTCCTGCGTATTGTATGTGTGTGAGGTTATTTCATTTACAAACAGTGCCCTCTGGAGGACTGCACAGAAACTCAAGCAAAAACCTCTGTCTTTTACAGTGACACTGTGAGAGATTTTATCAAACTCAGAATGTTATTGAAGTTTGCATATTTTGGATTGATTAATGAAACTTTGGTTTGTACACTTCTCAATATGGGCTAGTGTTTGTGAATGTTAAACTGCAAAAGGAGTTGTTAGACTATTTAAAAAGATTTTGACAAACATAGTAGAATTCTCTGTTTAATAATCACAATTTTACAGAAGTTTTAGCAGCAAGCCAGATAAAATAAATACATTAAAGATGTAAAAAGTAAAACAAACAGACTAAAAAATCTGTTTAAAATTGTAAAATCATAAATCCAAAACAAAAAAAAAGTTTCCATATATATTTTTGTGAAATTTGGGTTACTGCATAATTGAATTAAAGAAAAGAAAAATGAAAAAGCTGCGTGAAAATGCCAAAAGCTACAAAAAGTCTTATTTTGGGTAGTTTTTTTAGTAAATGGTGTAAATACATTTTTCTCTATGTATGCAAAATAAAAATAATGTTAAATACGCAGATAGATGGATGGATAGACAGACAGACAGACAGACAGACAGACATGCAGCATTAAGTAGACATGCCATAGTTGTCGTAAGGATCCACGTTGAGGTCTGGGATTTTCCATCCACGAATGGTGCCATCCAGACCCCCGCTGAAGCATGATTCTCCTTCCTCTCCCATAGCCAGAGAAAGAACAGCACCACTAAACCAAACCCAATCAAAAACAAAATGATACATAAAATTAAGAATCAATGTATACATTTTAATAGTTAACTTTTTTACTGAAAAAACTTTTTTACTCCTGAAATTCAACTCATAATTACACACACCTTTCATTTAGTCATGAACCTAACCATTTCAAAACTTTATGAAATTTAAAATATTTGTTCTGACAAAACATTACACATATTACTTATACATATTACTAAATACAGTTTCCACTCTTTCATGACACTAAATTCAAGGACTTTTTAAATCAATAATATTTTACATCAAGCACCTTTGTAATTCACACGCCCAGCATATATAGACTAGCACCATGAATGTCCTTCCTTTACTTAACATTTCACCTATATTTAATATTTGCATTAAAACGCTTGATGAAAAAGGTCAACATTTTAAAAAAATGGCATTAAAAACATCATCATTATTACATTTTAAAGTCATGTTCAAAGAACTTCAATATAATAAGTTGACTTTAATCCTGGCAATATTCAAATGTGGTTCCTAAAATATTGCTAAAATTCATTATTTGTCATAGTTCATGTATAAGATTGAAATATAAGTTTTTAAATAAATGATATTCTTAGCTTTTTTGTTCATTTTTTGAAAGTACCACAGGACAATTGTTGAAATAACACCATCAACTTTAAATTTAAACATTTTCAAGAATCTACGTTTGTTTTTAAGTAATTTCAAGGCTTTGAATCCGTATGTCTAAAAATCAAGCACTTCGAAAAACTTTTAAGAAATGTGGGAACCCTGTAAATATGTCCAAATAAATGTGATCTTCGGGTGTACTTTCTAATGATTATCAATAAAATTCACTCACAACTGTGTGACAAACATGGAAAGATTAAATCTACTTTAAGCAAAATTAAAACAAAATTAAATAAAAATAAACTTTCCCAGTGATGGGTTGCAGCTGGAAGGGCAACTGCTGCATAAAACATTTGCTGGATAAGTGGCCGGCTCATTCTGCTGTGGTGACCCCAGACTAATAAAGAGACTAAGCCGAAAAGAAAATATATGTATGAATGAAAATAAAATAACATCAAGCCTTTTGACACCTAAAAGGACCACATACGCAGGTCCAAAATGACTCAAACATAAAAGGTGTAACCTTAAAAAATGTAATAAAACATAACAAAAAATAAAATACACAAAACTAAACATAACAAAAAACAAGAGAGCAAAACAATAAATAAAATGACAACACAAGACAAAACAAAACATAAAATTTAACAAAAAAACTAAAACAAAAACTAGACAAGAACAAAACACTAAATGAAACACCATAAAATCAAGATTTTGTACATACATACGAATAATAACAATACAAAAATACAATACAAAGCAACAAAAAATAAAATGACATCACACACACAAAATAAATAAATAAAAAATATTAACTAAAAGCACAGCACAAAAATCAAGATTTTTGACACAGGACCCCATACATACCCCCTCCCCCCTTCAAAAAAATTACTCAAACATAAACTTTATAAAATCTTTAAATAATTATGCATAATGTATGCACGTATGTACGTACATATAAAAAAAACTGTTAAAATAAATGAAATAATGCTAAATAATTTAGGTAGGTCTGTACTAGAACTGCATAATATTGGAAAAATTAAACATTGTGATTTTTTTGTTTTGCTGCAACATATATTGTGATATGATTCTAATTTCAACAGATGATTTAAATAGCTATGTTTTGGAAGATTTCATTTATTTAGATCAACAGAGATGAGATCAAGTCTTTTTTATGAAGTGATATTATAATAAATTCCAATCAAAAATAAATAAATAAACTGCTTTATGGTTTTCTGAGGTGTCTAATGGTATTCAAGTACAAAAATCAAATGTCAAATAGCAGATCGTCAATGTATAAATAATTTAAAACAATATAATATTTAATAATATACTATTTTTTTAATAATAATATTAATATATATATATATATATATATATATATATATATATATATATATAATATTTAATTAAAATATTTAACAAATAATCTTGCAATGTGTGTATTGAAGACGCACACATTGCGATATCAATCATCAAATCATACATTGTTCATCCCTAGTTTATACTAATAACTTTGCAGTTTTGTTTTTAAAGAAATGGGTCAGAAATGACCTGAATACATCATGACAGCGACTGAGTTTTAGACTCATGATTTTGCCTAAAGCACCAGACAGAGTTTGTTAGCTGTGGCTCATGTTATGTGATTTTCAGCTGGACTCGCTCACCTGTGTGCTCGGAAAGTATAAATAGGCTCAACGTCCAGCGCTGCATTTCTGTGAAAACACAAACGAGACGCTCAGCACACAGAGACACAACTCAGTTATAGATCAATAATTCTAAATATGCTTCCAGAGACACCTACACTAACGCAATTCTATCCGCACAAGGAGGCGATAAAGTACAGGCTGCTTTGGCTCTTACTTTTTTGAGTGCATGGCCTTGTTGAGGTTCCACAGTTTGAGCGTCCCATCCTCAGATGCAGACAGCAGCACGGCCTGACTGGGGTGAAAGGACAGCGCTCGGATGGCGTCAAAGTGGCTTCGCAGTGTGAAGCGAGGGTTCCACGTTTTCTTGAACTCTTCTCGACTGTCCTGCAACTGGACATGGAACCAAAATTATCAAAGACTTGTTTGCATATTATGAAAGAATTCTATACTTGAAAACTGCCCATATTCCGTTAAAGGGTACCTATGATGCAAAATAAACTTTTAGAAGCTGTTTGGACAGAAGTATGTGTAGGTATAGAGTGTCCACAGTCATACTGGAGTGATATAAACACAATAAGTAAGTTTCCTGCCATTAAAATAGGATCCAAATCCCAGTGATTTTGTGGCCCACTGCGATGTGACAGAGTGACGATTTGATTGACAGGTGCATTTTAACATGTCTCCGTGGTAAAGTGTATAAACATGTCCACAGAACAAGATTTCTAGCTCATTTGCATTTAAAGGCACAGGCTACAAAAAACAGTTATACCTTGTTCTAAGCCAAAACTTCTGCATTGTATAATAAATACTCTGCTAGGTAAAATTATCTGAACGAAGACTTACCCTACATCTTGTAAAAGGGGTAAAAAATAGGAGGCCTTAAAAGTTTTCCTGAAAAGCATTTTTTTTGATTAGTGACGACATGACGAGAAAACTAAAAGTAAAATAAAATTAAAAGTAGCTACTTTAGTCTGCAGTTTCTTCTCTTCAGTGTCAGTATCTTGCGCTCAAACAGAGGAAGTTATGCAAGGGCATCTGAGGTATATATATATTCATAAATTTTCTTGTTGGCTTAGTCCCTTTATTAATCCAGGGACGCCACAGCGGAATGAACCGTCAACTTATCCAGCAAGTTTTTACGCAGCAGATGCCCTTCCAGCCACAACCCATCTCTGGAAACATCCACACACACTACCCACAATTTAGCCTAGCCAATTCACCTGTACTGCCTGTCTTTGCATTGTGGGGGAAACCGGAGCACCTGGAGGAAACCCACGCAAACGCAGGGAGAACATGCAAACTCCACACAAATACGCCAACTGAGCCGAGGATCGAACCAGCGACCCTTTTGCTGTGAGGCTTCAGCACTACCTACTGCGCCACTGCTTAGCCCTATATATATATATATATATATATATATATATATATATATATATATATATATATATATATATATATATATATATATATATATATATATAAATACATACATAAATTGCATTTAGATTTTTTGGGTTCCTCCCCTCATTGTTTTCAACACTTTGTTCGATACAGTCTATTATTTTCTTTTATCTGCAAGTGTTTAGATGAGCTCACAATTACAAGTGATTAAGCGACTGAACTTTTGAAGTGGGCAAAAAATTTCAAATACTAGAGGGCATCTGATTGGTTACAAAATCAGATGAGAAGCTGAAGTGATCTGCTCGTATCTTAGAAATTTGATTTTGGATCACACTAGATTTATAACCTCAACACTAACATATTGATAATAATAATTTATGTATTGTGTTCATACTTTATATGTATAATAAGACAAATAATTAGCAACTTCATATAAAGTGCGCTCTGTAGATGGCAGTAATAAGCAGAACCTCACACAGGGAGGTCAGATTACTTTTGACACTTACGTCAATGGTGAGGTCGTTGTCGTTGGCAACAGTGAGGTCAGCCAGCTCTCCGAGGTTCATGTCTCCTCCTCCGACTGCATCCAGAATGAAGACATCGGATGAAAAGCCCAGAGCACCTCCTGCAGGACGGACACACACACAAATATGCTAAAATATATATAAATATGAATATATATATATATATATATATATATATATATGGAATAATATAAGATGGAATAATGTAAGATTTTTAACCCAGTAAACAGGCGAGAAAAAGGCTAATAAAAGCACAAAAGTAGCATTTAATATTAATATCAATGCCTTGGACATTATAAATAATAAAAAGTATTTAATACAAGTATTAATAAATTAATTAATAAATATTAATTAATAAATTAATAAAAGTATTATTAAAAAGTTTTAGTCATCTATATTTGCCCTTATGTAACAGAAGCCAGCTGGTGATCGCGTAAATCTCACTCCTCGGATCCAGTGACAGACGTTGTTCTGCAATCTTTAGCATCCTCGGAGCTTGTCTCCCATAAATACATATATACACTAGATGTCGCCTGGCCTATTGTTGTCTATTGGACGGAATGCGTCAATAGCTCTGCCATCTTGCTACAGGGTAGCACTCCTTTGAAATGAATGCGGGACCAAGGTACAGTGGAGGACTGTGGCCATGCAAAGCCAGAGATATACACATATATCTGAGATCGGGAGTTTTCCTGGATGTCAGTATGTAATTTTTATTTTGTAATTACGAAAATTATAATTTTACATAACTTTTCTACATTGAAAAATGTACTATTCACTCTCCCTGTTAAATTTAATCTAATCCGTGTCCTGAAACACAGCTCCTCTCCTGCTTTCACTTCTCATACTGACGGAGCGAGCGATTCGTTTGTGAATGAATCCCCCGAACGACTCTTTCACTTAGGCGACAATAATACATGTTACGCAGCATCTCGTTGTCATATTTCTTTTGCATTGTTTGCTGATTTTATTCAACAAAACTAGCATAAGCCGAGTGTTTAGTGCGAGTTGGAGCTGCTTTGCCTTATGGTGAATGCAGTAAGTGACTGTTATCATCAATAACGTTCACCTGATTAGCACAAAAGTTCAGAACATACAAAAACAGAAAAAAAACATAATATTATCTATGAAATGTTCTGCCTTTATGCTTTGTTTTCTTTGTTTGCTTGTTACTACACCCGTAGACAGCACTAAAGTCCCGCATCTTCACGTAATAACACTGTCCTGACTAGTGCGGTTGAATGACATTTGTCCTGGGAGCACTGTACCAATGTGGCGGCGCTATTGACGCATGCTCAGGGTCCCTATGCGATATCTAGTGTATATATCTATGGTCTCCCATGCTGGTGTTACACAGCTTGCTCCCTGCTAGGACCGGTGCGGTTACTTGCACATAAACCGTCTTTTGATGAATATGATGTTACACATTCTCTTTCTTTATTGACTCTTTCTTCCATAGACGTGAAGTATTATATTGACGGCTATAAACGTAAGAGAAACAGGAGAGGAAATATTCTAATAATAATACAAAATTGATAAACATTGCCAGGGCTATAAGAACAATTCCAAACAAAGATATTCAAAACCAGAGAGATTTTATGAGAATGTCACACAAGTTTACTTGGAACTGTTAAACAGAGAGTTCAGGTATGATTTAAGGTTGGTAATGGATGGGATGAGTAATTTAAAATAACGTGCAAATGCATTAAAGGAGTGTCTTCAGTTATTCACACAGAACCGTCTAATATGGCATAACTATAAGGAATAATGTTTGCACTGTTTAAACGCAGCTATGTTAGGATTGGGATAGGTTATATATTATGGGAGCCGGCATGGGAGACAAGCTCCGAGGATGCTAAAGATTGCAGAACAACGTCTGTCACTGGATCCGAGGAGTGAGATTTACGCGATCACCAGCTGGCTTCCTTTACATAAGGGCAAATATAGATGAGTAAAACCTCATTTACCCATTTTACTCATACTTTTTATTATTTATAATGTCCAAGGCATTGATATTAATATTAAATGCTATTTTTGTGCCTTTATTAGCCTTTTTCTTGCCTGTTTACTGGGTTAAAAATCTTATACATCATTCCATCTCCACCTGCTGGTGAAAGCTAGAGCAGCGGGCGATCTTCAATCTGCAATCTATTGCTTTTCCTGCAGTTCCTGGATGTAATGTTGAATTTTAACAGTCGAATTTGATCCACTGAATTTATGGAAGCGAATATTTGAACTGAAATAAAATCAACTGAAAATTACCTTTTGAATATTATATTTCGTAATTTTAAAGGGTATTGAATATTTTGTAAGTGAAATCTGAAAATTGAATATGAATTATTGAATTTTTAAGTATGAAAACATGTTTGAAATATTTTTCGTTGAAATATTCACAGCTTAAATAAACAGATATGTTAAATTTCAGGACCTAAAAATACAAGCCCTGGAATTCAAGTCATTAAAATGCAAGAACTTGTTAATACGGTGTATTATTTTTTTCAGTTTGTGCTATTCAACCAGCTTTTTAATTCAAGACTTTTGGCATTGATTTTGTTCCATAAGTCCCTTTATTAATCTGGGGTTGCCACAGCGGAATAAACCTCAAACTTATCCAGCATATGTTTTTATGCAGTGGAAGCCCTTCCAGCTGCAACCCATCACTAGGAATCATCAATTAACATTCATACACATAGACCAGGGCGCTCAACCCTGTTCCTAGAGATCTACATTCCTCCATATCAAATACACCTGCCTTTAATTATCAAGCGCTGTTTAGGTCCTAATTAATTGGTTCAGGTGTGTTTGATCAGGGTTGGAGCTGAACTATGCAGGAAGGTAGATCTCCAGGAACAAGGTTAAGCACCACTGACATAGACTATAGACCAGTGGTTCTCAAACTGTGGTACTTTCCTCCTAGTGGTACGCGGAGGAATCGCTAAATAATGAAAGAAACAATTAACACTTTTAATCCTTTAATGCGTTATATAGCTTTGATGTGATCAGCATTGGCTGTTTTGTGAAGCGTACGATCACAACGCTGTGCTTAGAGTGTTTATTTTAGTGCATTGTGTCATAAGCTGCTGAAAAGCAGTTTCCGAAATTTAAGAATTGATTCAGAAGCGTGATTTGACTGACATGAAAAGTGGCCAATCATAGTCGACCTTGTCTAGTTGCGTGAAACGTAAGGGCGGGACAAAGGCTTTCTGTGTTGCAGAGACAGAAAAAACAACTTAAAAACAAATGTTTTGTTGGAATTATACTTCTCGGATGTTTTCACTACAGAGATGTCTAGCAGAGTAATTAAACCGCGGACATATTTCCTGCCTATTTGATGATCTTCATACACGTTTCGCTCTCCGACAGCCAGTCGACTCGCCTCTGACCTGTCATTCCTCTAAATACATTCTGAATGGCAGCGCGGGAATGAAGGTATTGCGCAATTACTCATTTCTGCAAATGTGGCGAGTGCTTTATTTTAACACGAGAGAGCATTCATGTACGCAAATCGCTAAAACAGATATGCGAGCTCTTAAATAGGCTTTTTTTCAAATGAACTGCAAGTGCTCTCATGATCGCGTGTGTGTTCAGATAGAATACAATCGCGATCTTTCCACTATTAAAGTAGACATTATTTATCTTTGCTCCTTAACTAAATTTAGTCAAAAGTATTCAAAGTTATCAAATATTTAGAAATAGATTGATACATGATCGATGACAATGCTAATGGTCTCCTTTTTGGCTGTGTTGTGAAGTGAAACTTACTTTTAGCAAAGGTGGAACATTTTTTTATTTCTTTACGACAAAATAATTATGCTGGAAATGTTTCTGGATGAGGTATTTGTGTGATTTATACATTTAGCTGTATTCTGATCTGTCCTAAAGCATTACAGGTCAAAGCATTCCATTGTTAGCCTACTTATTGTTTATTTATCACAATTTACAATAGGCTCTTAAAGCACTTCTTTGATAAATGTAGTGTTGTCATATTTCAAATACCTCAAGTAAAATGAAGTCATTTGTTTTATTTTTTTACTGACAGTGTACTTGTATTTTTTTACGTTTCTATTTTAGATTAAGATCAAGTGTAAAATAAAATCTACATGTGATGTACAGCTATTTAAGAAACAAATTTGCCATATTGTAAAGAAAATAGTGTAAAATATGTAAATAAAAGGCTAAATTTAAATCTTTTTACCATATACTTTAATTTAACCTTTCAACGCTTAAAAATATATATTTTTAAAAATGGGCAAAAAGTGTCTCTATGGCCTTAAAGATTAATTGGTAGTTTTACCAGTGCTATTGAAAAAGATTAATTGTCATGAAAGGAAAAATTGACTATACTTCCTTTGTTAGTGCAAATTATACATGTAGCTTTGGGATGTAAGCAATCAAACCATTAAATTAGGTTTACACTTAAAAAAAAAAGTGATTTCATAATGAAATGATGATGATTTTTTTTTCAAAAGTAACCAACTAGTACTTTTTAAAAGAGTAATTTGTACTTTTACCTAATATTAGTATTATTTACTCAAATTTTTGTTATTTTAGCAGTGTAATAGTATTTTTACTTGAGTACAAAAAAGATTTCACAAGCACTTAGTGCAGGTTTATTATATTATTAATATATGATTAATAAATATTATTATTAATGGTTTTTATTTGTATCTATTCCTATGCAATGTTTTATGGGTTGCTGAGAATACATTTCAGGTCTTCAATACATAGCATGTCAGTCTTGAAAAAAAAAAAATAGGTGCTGGAATTGATTTTCATTAGGCTGTGCCTGTATAAACCCTGTCATGTACATTTAACATTTATTTCAAGATTTGTCTGAAAGTGTATGAATATGACATATAGCCTTTATTTATAAGGTCCAAGCAGCATTTCCAGCTTTTGATGAATAGGCTACTATAAATACTTTAGATTTAAGTACAGCAGTTTTCTTTTTACTTTAAGAACAGCACCATTTTTTATGAACTTTTAAAAGCACATTTTAACTAAAACTTTTTTTATCTGCAAGCACAGTTAACGTTCAGATTATTTCAAATGTTTAAAGTGACTGACAATAATACATATTCTTACTAATAGGAAGTAATCTGCATCGTTTTAAAACTGTGCACACCTGTAGCTGCTTAATTAGGCTTACGACGCTATTTTTTAATATTGGTTAAAAAATAGCGTCGTAAGGTGGTACTTGGAGAGACAATTTTTTTCTAAGGTGGTACTTCATGAAAAAAGTTTGAGAACCACTGCTATAGACAATTTAGTCTTAATAATTTATCAAATTATTAGCCCCCCTAAATTATTAGACAGCTTGTTTATTTTTTTCCCAATTTCTGTTTAATGGAGATATTTTTTAACATATTTCTATTAAAAATAGTTTTAGTAACTCATTTCTAATAACTGATTTATTTTATCTTTACCATGATGACTGTAAATAATATTTTACTAGATATTTTAAGACACTTCTATACAGCTTAAAGTGACATTTAAAGGCTTAACTAGGTTAATTAGGTTAACTAGGCAGGTTAGGGTAATTAGGCAAGTCATTGTATAACAGTGGTTTGTTCTGTAGATTATCTAGAAAAAAATTTAGCTTAAGGGGGCTAATAATTTTGTCCTTAAAATGTTGTTTAAAAAAAAAAAAAAAAAAAAATCAAAAACTGCTTTTATTCTAGCCGAAATAAAACAAATAAGACATACAAAAAAAAAAATGATCTAAAACTATATGTTTGTCCAGGCTAAAGGTCCCAGATCACCAGTTACTTTATATAAATGGAGAGTTAATCTTCTATTTAAGCAATGTTATTGTAAAGAATGACAATTAAACCACATGAGCTAGACATCAGCTAGAGCTGCTCGATTATGGGAAAAATCATAATCACGATTATTTTGGTCATAGTTGTAATTACGATTATTCAAAACGATTATCAGTTGACGTCAAAATTAACAGCCCTTCTGTGAATTTATTTTTATATATAAATATTTGCCAAATGATGTTTAACAGAGGATTTCCTATAATATTTTTTCCTTCTGGAGAAAGGCTTATTTATTTTATTTCAGCTAGAATAAAAGCAGGTTTAAATATTTTGAAACCTATTTTAATAGCTCGATATTATTAGCCCCCTCAAGCAATATATATTTTTTATTGTCTGCAGAAGAAACTACAGTTGTACAATGATTTGCCTATTTACCCTAATTAAGCTTTTGAATGTCACTTTAAGCTGAATACTAGTATCTTGAAAAATATCTTGTAAAATATAATGTGCTGTCATCATACCAAAGATAAAATAAATCAGTTATTAGAAATGGGTTATTAAATATGTTATGTTTAAACTGTGCTTTAAGCATCTTTACTGAATTTTTTATATTATTATTGATGAATAATAAAAACAGTCGGCAGCAGCAGGAATACCGCACACTGTCACTTTTTTTTTCTCTTTCACGTGTCTTTTGATTCTCAACTTGCTTGTTCATACATAAATGAGGGTTAATATGAATAATCACTAAACACCGCGCTCTGACACAAATGTGCATGTATTTGACCTTTAAAGCGCTCACATTAAGATGGCATTAGATGTGTGTGTGCTCTGCTGTCCGAGGGTAAGCGCGGCGTGTGCGCAAACACTAACACACACACCACACACACCTCACAACACAACACACAACACACACACACACCTGTCCGAGGCTAACCGCGGCGCGCGCGCACACAACAGCACGTGCCCTTTACGCTTTTAAAAATATGAATGATGCACATCCCGTGCTGCGAAAGTTACATTACAGCACATGCTTTTAGTCATTTTCATGTGGAACTAAGCTTTGCAGAGTGACACGGAGGAAAGGAAAGGAGGTGGTATGTGATAGAATAATCGTTTATCTCGATTAATTGTTTTTCATAATCGTAAAAAAACCAAAATCGAAATCGGATTTTCGATTAATTGCACAGCCCTAACATCAGCTGCGTGCACAACACTGTTGTCAGTAAACGAGGATTGCCTGTGTTTCACAGCGTGCCTGATCACCTTTTAATTTGGTATTCAAGTGATTTCTTTAGCTCGCACGAACACTTATCAGTCATGCTGCTTCTCAATTCTAAGATAGCATTTGCACATATATTGACAAACAGTCTTAAACCAAAATTCTAATCTTTAGAGACAGGCAGCTCTGGCAATTAAAAATTATTTTCAACCGGCCAAAGTGTATACGTGCATGTAGCACTCAACACGTATGAGTTCACTCTTTACAATTCTCTTATTTAGATTAATATTTTCTGTAAGAAGCTTTATAATATTATATTTGCGCATATGCATTAGATTCAAATTTATATGTCAGGGAAAAAAAAAAAAATTAAAAACACACAAAAAAAAAAAAAAAAAAACTCAAGAGAAACAATAAAACTAAAAAAGAATAACATTTTGTTGTTTGTAATTTTTTTCACAATATTTCACATAAATTAAACGTATTATTTTTCTATTTGTACAGTTTGATGTTTGGTGATTTAAATATTATTTTAATTAATTTATCCATACAACAAATCTACATAATAATGCACCATAATGTATTACCTATATTCACTGAGAAATGGATAAAAAATGTAATTTTTAAAGTGGGGTGTACTTATTTATGTTAAGCACTGTATGTGTGTGCACAAACACATTATAATTGATTATTTCATTATATGAAATGTTCTTTTTAAGTTGCATGTTGTGCTTTTTTCTTGTATTATGTAGGAAAAAATAGAACCAAAAAAAAAACAAAAAACAAAAAAAAAAAACAATGGAAAATACTAATCTCTTTATATATGATGAAGTGAGGATCAGTTTGTTTTCAGAGAGCAGGACGTATGATCTTACCCTCACCGGAGCGAGCCTGGCCCGGGATAGACGGAGGTGGAGTGGGTTTGGGGGGAAAATCTGACATAATGCCTTGTAACTTGTTCCGGCGGTTCTCTGAACCTAAGCAGAGGAAGAGAAAGACTAAACAAACCAGCAACTACAGTAGGAAAACAAAACTCAACCCACTGCTGTCAGTCATTTATCCAGTGCTGTGGAAGAGGTGAAGAGAGTATCGGGGAAACAAACAAGCACATGCTGACGTTAAGACAAAATGGCATCCTGTCAACAGATTTTTATCAACAGGAAGTTGCAAACAAAAGCAAATTATAAGAAAACAATGAGCGGTCACAGCATGACGATAAAGGGAAACCCTCACATCCACTGTCAAAACCACAATGAAGTAAGTCGGCGTCTAGTAATGCATTTCAGGGTAAAGTTTGTAAGGACAGTTTACCCAAAAATTCTCACTATTTGCTCACCGGTTCCAAACCATTGTGACTTTCCTTTTGATATTAAACAAAAAATAAGTTATTCTGAAATTAATAGAAACCTTTACCCATTGATTTCCATAGTAAAAAAAAGCAAATACTATGGAAGTCAATGCTAACAGGTTTCCAATATTTTTCAACTTCATTCCACCAACTTATCCGGCATATGTTTTACACAGCAGATACCCTTCCAGCTGCAATTCAACACTGGGAAAGACCCATACGTTATTGCATTCACACACATTCACTATGGCTAACTTGGCTTATTCAACTCACCTGAATAGCATGTCTTTGGACTGTGGGGGAAACCGAAGCACCCTGCAAACATGAGGAGAACCTGCAAACTGCACACAGAAATGCTAACTAAACAAGCCGGGGCTTGAACCAGAAACCTTCTTGTTGTGAGGTGATCAAGCTACCCACTGCGCCACAGTGATGCCCATATTTTTCAACTTATTTTGCGTTAAAAAAACAAAACAAAACTGAAAGCGGTTTGTGATGAGTGAAGGATGACTAAATGTCTTTAAGCCTCCATTTGTCTTTAATTTTATCTAGTTTCTATCTCTGTCTCTTATATATAAATATAGTTGTTGATTTTTCTGAAAAAAAAAAAGTATTTTCTTTATAATTTGATTGATTCAGGTATACTTTTTGTGAGTCACCTCTTGGGAGAACAGCAGTGTCCTATTCATTTGCAAAAAAAATTTTAAATAACTTTTTTGGTTCTCCTAATAGAATATGAAAAGAATTTCTCTTAAACACAAAACAAGATGTTGAAGAAAGAAAGAAAGAAAGAAAGAAAAAATTCCATTTTTAAGTGAACTTAAAATATGTATATATATACCTATATATATATATATATATATATATATATACCTATATATACAGGGCTGATAGTGGAAAAAATTCCTGAGCCTGAACTTTTTTTCCTTTCTGATGTTTTAATTTAAACGCATTTATTTTATGTATTCGTAGTCATACTTCCGTACGTAATATAGTCACATGTCAGTCAAATTTATTGTGGCATGCTTATGTATGTCAGTAATGTCAGTGACACATGCCAGTGTCAGTGATCTTGTGACATGTGCCAGTAGGTGTCAGTATAAGCACGTTATAAGCACATTAATCTTATAAGTCTCTTTGCTTTAATATTTAAAAATCATTAGGCAAATGACACCTGCTATCTTACATGCATATATGTTATGAGTTTTCAACATGCATTTTATTATAACTTTTTAAAGGATATTATTTAAAATACCTTAAAATGAAAATAAGTTAAATAATAAAATAAATGAATGAATTTAAAACATAGAGAAGTCCATATTGTAGGGAACAAAGGAACTGCCAGGATGCAATAATATACAGTACAACAGATAAGTGTAACCCCTCCCATACATAAGCATGCCACAATAAATCTGACTGACATGTACTGTCAAATAACTATATTACGTACGGAAGTATGACTACGAATACATAAAATAAATGCGTTTAAATTAAAACATCGTGGAGTAGATCAGCAAATAAACTTGCGACGCGATAAATTAGGTTAAAAGTCGCGTAATGATTAAATATGGTTTTGCTTGTGTTAATTAATGTCATAAGCTTCGCCGGGTGTCGATGTCACTGCAGTGACATGCAGCGCGACACTCTGAGTGACACAGGTCACTACACATGCCACTAGCGAGTGACACATGACAGTGGAAAACCGGACGTGCCACCGGAAGTGTCACTACACTCAGTGGCATGTGCCAGTGTCATCTGTACGTCAGATGTCGTGTCACTCCATGTTAAAACTTCTACTGTGAATCCGCGTTCAAGCGCACACAATAAAGCTAAAACTCGCCCCAAGCACCGGCAAAAACAAATAACAATGAATGTGTCGAGGAAAGAGTCAGGACATATCTTAATTATTTATTAATAAACTTATTCTGAGTCAGAGTCGCAGATCCTGACTGGCAATCTCCTCTTGGACTCGCCTTGAGAGAGAAATTCATCTTTACGGATTACATGATGGAGTTTTTTTGTTTTCGATTTGTTTTATTTCGTTAAGTAATAATTTAAAGCTTTCTATAAATATATTTATTATGTCTGTGAGGCATATAGCCTACATTTTGCTTCATTTTGTTAAGCGCTCCTGTTCAAAAACCAGACAACAGAAAGCGCATAATTTTGGTTTTCTTTATTTTATAAAAACGCTGTAACGTTTTTTGATGTATTACTCGTACTTTGTGAGCAAAAATGACGGATAACTTTAAATTGCTCCCACTGAAAAAATGCAAGTGATTGCTCTGGCGCCTCGATGTCCTGCAAGCTTTTTATAAGCAAACTATGCGCCTAATAGCACACATTCTTTAACGTTTAAGCTACCATTGTTTTATACTTGAACTGTTTTATATCTTTTATTTTAGGCAAGTCGTGATGATCTGAGAAGGCAAACTGATCAAACAGACAATGATGGTCTTCCGCTGGGCGCTGTTCGTTAAAAAAAACAAAAAAAAACCTTATTTTTAACGAATAAAAAATGCTCCAAACGTTTTAAATAAGCTGAATAAAAAAACAAAACTAAATATAAACACTTTGCCATTAGGCTACATACAAAACTGAACTATTTTATAGCTGAAACACTAAGTTGTTTAAGGAGAAGGGGTAAATATATTTTTGTCCCGTCTATTGCTTCACCGTTATTTCGAGAATAAACCCAGCGTAAATATGCAGATGCCATTCCCAAAACATATCAGCGTATATGTGCCGAAAACGAAAGTTTCATACAAATTCTGAATGGATTATAGCCTGGAAAGTGCAAAGCACGCTCCTCTTATTATCACTAAAAAGTGTCACTAATCTTAGTTCATAGAGATCTCACAAAGATCCGTTATAATTTATAAAGCTCTCTAAAATACACAGTCTTTTATTTACATGGCGTCTACACTCAAAAGATGATTCACGAGCATACAAAATGGCACTTAATAAAAACCAGTCCGGCGCTTTCAGCAGTGAGTGAATTCTGTGAATCTAGAGAAATGACAGATCAATATCCGTGAACCTGATTGTTTTTTCCCCGCAGCCACAGTACGCCGGAAATCCGGCGTGGTGCCGGAACGCTATCACCCCTGTATATATATAAATATATATATATATATATATATATATATATATATATATATATATATATATATATATATATATATATATATATAGTTGAATTCAGAATTTTTAGCCCCCCTGAATTATTAGCCCTCCTGTTTGTTTTTCCCCCAATTTCTGTTTAACAGAGAAGATATTTTTAACACATTTCTAAACATAATAGGTTTATTAACTCATTTCTAATAACTGATTTATTTTATCTTTGCCATAATGACAGAAAATAATATTTGACTAGATATTTTTTAAAACACTTCTATACAGCTTAAAGTGACATTTAAAGGCTTAACTACGTTAATTAGGTTAACTGGGCAGGTTAGAGTAATTAGGCAAGTTATTATATATTGATGATTTGTTCTGCAGACAATCAAAAAAAAAAAAAAAAAAAAACTTTTAGCTCACGACCCCTAAAACAACAATGTCAGTGACTCGTGACCTCCAGTATTCTCTGAGTTGGTTGTAAATACACAAACACGAACACACCAATAGGCCCAAGTCGATTAGAATATATATAAAACATGGTAATTACAATAGTTTAATAAAAGGAATTAGATTTAGGAAAATCACCAAGCAATCCCTTCTGACTGTCCTGCGACCCCCACTTTGAGAACCACTGGCTTAAAAAAGCAATATTTTTAAAAATTATTTTGACCTTAAAATGACTTTTAAAAACTGCTTTTATCCTAGCAGAAAATAAAATAAAATTCCAGTAGAAAAAAATATTATCAGATATACTGTGAAAATTTCCTTGTTCTGTAAACATCATTTGGGAAACATTTAAAAGAGAAAAATAAAATAAAATCAAAGGGGGCTAATAATTCTGACTTCAACTGTATATACATAAATAATAAAATTTAAAAAAGCATGCAGACACTTGATAATTATATAAAATAAGCTAAGTGTATCATAAGTTATATTTTCGATTTAAAATTCATACTGTGTTGAAAAAAAGTTCATTCTAATGCATGTTTTGCCAAAGCTTTTGTTGCAATTACATGATTTTGACCACCAGGTGTCAATAGCAAGTGCCATTTTGAACATTTTGAAACTGAATTATTTTGCAAAGCAATTGGTTTATTTTTTTTAGAAACTTTGAAAAGCTTAAGTTCTTCATCACTACCACAAAATGGAAAAGTGCCATCAGCAGGGCTGTGCGATTAATCGAAATCGAATTGCAATCAAGATTTGAAATGTTGCAATTACCTAATCGCAAGTGGCGTGATATGAAATATATATTTATGTATTATTTAATTTCTCCCGCCCAGAGCAAATGCAAGACTGCTGCCTGTGTGCAATAATCTTACAAGCCAATTAAATGAGGACACATTCGTTCTGTCTAATCAAGATTGTGCAACCAGAATATTTGAAAGACCAACAATAAAAAAATAAACAAACAGGAAAGCATGAACAAGTGGGATAATGGCATCTGCTGCTTCAGTAGCAATAACAGATGAATTCATGAATTCTGTCGCAAAATTGTTGCCAAAGCACAATGAAATACAACAACCAGCATCTAAAAAAGCACCACAGCCAGCTACATAAGGAGTGTTTTGCAAAAATGTCAACGGATAGTATTGACAATGACACTCAATCTAGTAAATGTTAAATGTTATTATCTTTTAAGTTTCTTTTTTAACTAACACTCACTGCAGTAAGAAGCTCCGATACAGAATCTGCTGAATCTTGACAATACAATTAAATCACAATATCTGTCAAAATAAATAAATATATATATATATATATTTTTTTTTAATTGCAATTATATATTTTCCAAGGGCGACACGGTGGTGCAGTAGGTAGTGCTGTCGCCTCACAGCCAGAAGGTCACTGGTTTGAGCCTCGGCTAGGTCAGCTGGCATTTCTGTATGGATTTTGCATGTTCTCCCAGTGTTTGTGTGGGTTTCCCCTGGGGCCTCCGGTTTCCCCCACAGTCCAAAGACATGCAATACAGGTGAATTGGGTAGGCTAAATTGTCCATAATGTATGAGTGTTAATGAGTGTGTATGGATGTTTCCCAGAGATGGGTTGCAGCTGGAAGGGCATTTGCTGCGTAAAACATATGCTGGATAAGTTGCCGGTTCATTCCACTTTCGCGACCCCAGGGACTAAGCCAAAAAGAAAATAAATGAATAAATAGATATTTTCCCCAAATCACACAGTTATTTCCCCAAATTGCAAAACTAGTATTGAATTGCAATTGAACTGCCATAATGTAACACTAATTATGTTTTCTATACTTGTTCTTTTTGTTTTGTTAATCTATATGTATAATTTCCATGATAAAAAAAAAAAAAAAACCTAAGTTCAGGAATCCATACCTAATTCTCGACCGTCTCCAGATATGCGAGCTTCTCCAGCCCCTTCCCCTTCTTCTCCAGAGGCCAAGAAGTCAAACTCTCCCAGGGCGTCCTCAGAGTCATCTTCATCATCCTCATCCTCTGGGTCCAGGTCAGTGGTCATGGGTTCTCCGCCCATCTACATTCATAGAGACCACACCACACTATTAACAAAATAATAGATCTGTGCACACTCTCCTTACCTGCATGTACTGTAAACACTCTGACCTTGGCTCTGGACTTCTTGTTTTTACGTCCATCAATGCAGTCTGTGGTCATGCCCTGGAAGTCTTCCTCTTCATCACTGTCATCCTCGTCATCGTCCTCACATCCACGCAGGAAAGGGATTTTGTCCAGGACTGAGCTGCCCATCCGCTCTTTAGAGCTCTCTTTTCCAGCACGCCTGCGAAGAGAGAGATTCCAAGAGCAAACATTCAATTGCAAACACTGGATTAACAAACACTCACACCGAATCTCATTGAGTACTGTTTTTGTGAAATGGAAGGGAAAAGCAGCAGTATATAATAAGCGTTCGTTTAGGAGGTATAATGCTTTTTATGAACAATTGAAGGAATAAACAATCTTCGCCAAGTGAATGTACTACAAATACTGTCATCAAGTAACGCAGGTCAAAGACAGAGGTTTATAGCCAGTGTTGGGGAAAGTTACTTTTGAAGTAATACATTACAATATTAAAGGTGCAGTAGGTGATCTGCCAAAATGCTAAACGCTTAGCATATTATATTTGGACGGCGCACCGCATCACAACAGCAGACAGACAACCCACTAGTTCATGTCATTCGCCAGTTAGTTAGTGGCAGCGCCGTGCAGGAATTACATTTAATACTTAGCCACACTTGCATGCTATTTCAGAGCGAATATTCAGAGTAGCATGTTAAACAGTATAGGAAGGCTGTCATTGTTTAAAAATGACCCAATGTGAATATAAAAGCAACTTCAGCTCAATAAAGGTTAGGCGGAATAGCGCTATTTACTGATGTTTTGTTGTTAAACTAAATATAAATCTACAATATCGATGCTGTAAAAGGACCTTATGAAACTGAAAATAATCACATCAATATTTCACCAGGAGATTTCAGTGGCTGAACAACACGCCTGTGCATTTAAGTCATTCATAACACAACACAATCTAACATACGCTTAGCCTGACTAAAATAGTTTTACAACAGAACATTTCCTGTCTAACAGTAATGCTTCAGCCATGGTGTCGTCCTTCCTCCAGCGTGCTAAAGTTACTCCAATATTTATTTAGGTTTTTAAATGTTTCAATTCAGCATTTGATTTCTCCCGGTCCATCTCGTGCCCGTTTTTACATTTTATGCTGACGGGCATGCCCAGAAGTCTGAATCTACATTTGCTGACAGACAGACTGAGCTGTTTATCGGAATTATGAAAGATGTCGGTCCGACTCTATTTAATTGGATGAACATTTTTTTTGTTTTATGCCTTACCCATAATATATAAACACATATAAACACATTTAGATAATTTACTGTAATCATTACTATTGGACTGTGAAGAGACTATCAACCAGCACAACAACAAAAAAATTCGAAAGACAATCATCTACTGCACCTTTAAGTTAATGCAGCTTTTTTGTTACTTATTATGGTAAGTAATGTTAAGTTACTTGAGAGTTATTTTTGTGTTGCTTTTTATTACCTGGCTAAGGCTTGATCTCTTTCAGAACTAGTTTTTCTTTTTTTGTTTTTAAATAGAAGAGTTCTGTAATTAACAACACACTGTATAACGTTCACCTATATTTATCTATAAAAACACATAAAAACATATTTTAGGATGATGTTATTTGAGAACTTCCTTCGTGCCTTATATACAGATTATTGCAAGTTTAAAGCAACATGTTTACTACTTTTGTACTATTTGTCTGAAGTGTAATCACTGTCTATTGAGACAATCTCCTTTTCCTTTTCTTTGATGCATTCAAAATATAGCCTGATTCCACTGAGTGGTACAGTACGGGTCGGTACGATTACATTTATCAGGCTTGCATTTCCACGAATGGTACCCTTTTGGTTGGCGTAGTGTACGACAGAAAGTTTCAGTCGACGTCATTCTCGCTCGGGGAAATGTGAAAGTAAAGCTGTACGGGTGGTTCACATATCATATGAGAAGCACATCTCACAAAACAGATGCTTTATAAATAGAAATATTTCTGTATAAATGTTCATTACTAACCTTTTTATGAACATGACTTGATTATAACTGCTGATCAATGATCAATGCATCCAATTATACAAAATAAATACATAAATGCAACATATATGAACACGTACAGACTCTTACAGTCTCCGATATGTTACTAACTACAGAAAAAAAATAACACACACACACAAACACACAGCATTAATTTAATCCTTATTTGGGTTCAACACAACAAGCAACATAGCCCTCATTCAGTGCAAACCTCTCATCTGTATCTTTAACCCTCACTAGCACATGTAACCTCTTGTTAGAAAGTAATTACATCATTTTGTGTTCATAATAGTCCAAAATGTGATAATAATAGTTAAATATGGCAGTTTGTTCATGCTTTAGGGTGGTAAAAGAATAATTTGCTCCCTTGTTTTTTCCGGCTTCCGTTTTTTTCACACTTCACTCTTGCTTTTGTCCGTTTCTGAAACGCATATATTATTATCATCATTAGCTCAAGAAGTTCGTTATTTCAAATATAGACGTGCGATCATGAACTCTTAGAAAAAGTTTAACCTCTGGCACTTTTAGATGGCTTCGTAAAACAACAACGGGATGCAGCAGATTTTGTGCTTCTTGGCTTTGTAGCTGTTTATTAAGACGACGACAAGGTTTTTTTGAGCTCGGGTTGACCATTGGCTTGTTATTATATGTATACAATATTACAGTGTAATGTCTCGGCTGTGTTTTAAAAAATGGGGGTTCCTTTTTTTATTTTCATTCTCTGTTTCCTTTCATTCTCATTCTTCTGCTTGATAATGGGAAAAAACTAAATTCCATGGAAAATGAGAAACAGATGAATAAATAAAAAAGGCACAAAACATAACAAAAAAATTACAAAAATTTAACTAAACAACCAACATACAAAATAAAACTAAAACCAACAAACAAATGCAAAAAAAGAAAAAAAAATAACACAAGAGAAACAAAAACTAAACTAAAAAGGATCAAAAATGTTTTAATTGTGGTTTTACTGAGTTAAGTCAAAAATAAATATCTAAACCAAAGTATTAACAAAACCAACCCACATAATAAAAAATTTAAATAAAAAAACACAAAAGATAGGAAAACAGAACAAATAAAGTCAAAAAAAGAACCAAACAAAAATTAAATAAAACAACTAAACAAACAAGCACAAAAAGGAGAAAAACCTCAGACAAAACAAAAAAGATCAAGAAGACAAAATGCAAACAAAACACAATATAACAAGAAAAATAAAAAGCAAAACTACAAACTAAAATTGCACAAAAAGACACAACCAAAAATAGAAGCAAACAAACAAAATAGGGTAAAAAACTGATATAAAAATGTGTAATGCTTCAACACGTTTTATAATACTTATGACAAAAATAAACCACAAAATGATGCAACTTCTAGTTTCTAGTTAGTCTTTAAGTTTAAACTCTTAAAGAGAATTTAAAAAATGTAAATGTACCCCATATTTACTCACTCTCAAGTGAGGTGAAAGACAGTTGTTCAATTCAATTCAAGTTTATTTGTATGGAGCTTTAATTTTGCCCAAGACAAATTTTCTCTCGAGGTAGGGCTGAGCGATATGGCAAAAAAAATAAAAACTATTTTTTTCATAACATTTGACCCATTCACTATTTCAATTTTTTTTATTATTGTGTAACTAGTCAACATAAAACATTAAAACAACATGACTGAAGTAACATTCTTTTTATAAGTAACTTGAAAAACCACCTGGTTAAGCAACATTGCATTTTTAATGGCCATGCCATACATAAATTGGTCAACAAGGTGTAAATAAATGTAAAACAAATTCACAAGTTAAATATCGTTGCAGAAGATTTAAATAAAATATCAAAGTGACTATTGTGCAATTTGAATTAAACAATAAATACTTATGTTCTGAATATGGTAAAAAATAACCATTTTAACCAATGTAAACATTATATCAGTTAACTCAAAAAGTTAAGCATATTTACAACAGTAAAAAAACAACACTTTGTTTGCATCATGCAAACATAAAGCATGTTGTTGATAAGTCACATGTAGCTGTTCCTTACAGGTTTCTTGAGAGGAAGACCAGCCTTTCTACTTTTTCAGGCTTTAGAGATGCTCTGTGATAGGTTATAATGTTCCCACCTTCACTGAACATCCTCTCAAAAGGGGCACTGGTTGCAGGAATACAGAGCTATTTTTTGCAAGTTTTTCTAAGCCTGGGAAAGATTGGCAGTCAGCTCCGCTATGATTTTGTCTTCTTCTGATTGAATGACAGGTTGTAATGCTGCGGCCATTTTCTTAAAAAGAAACAGTGGAAGTAAAGGACTGAACACGCAAACTGTAAAGCCTGATTTAACACAATGCGTAAAGCTGTGTACGTATAGCAGGAGCAAATACAAGCACTAGTATGTGTGTCTAATGTAAAATAATATATTTATTCTATTTTTCTTTTTCCCCCTTTTCAATACCAATCGTTTGATGCACTTTGCACCACTCTCTGTATTACGCTGCCTGACTGGGTTTTAACTAGATCCGCTAATGATGTAATAGGGGTGGGTACTTTCACTTTTCACTGCTAAAGCTGCTCACCTCTGCTCGTGTTCAAACCAAACTAAGATCAGCGCAGTTCAAATTAAGTTCGGCGCGGTTTTTCACATAACAGGTTTTTACGTCCTATATACATATTGAGAGATCTAGTTTACCAACCTAATAAGGGAATATGTCTTGACAATTCGCAATACCTCGATTTAATAAAAAAATTAAATCGTCTTAAAATATCAATTCAAATTAAAATAAAATCGATTAAAAAAAAATTGTAAAAAACAAATAGAAAAAAATGCCTAGCCCTATCTCAGGGACAAATAAAGTTTATCCTATCCTATCCTATCCTATCCTGTCCTGTCATTAATAATAATTATTGTGAATTAAAGTTGTGTATTATTGCATAACATTTAAAATCAGAGAAGTTAAGGTTATTAGTTACCATAACTTTATTAGTTACTAATAACTTATGTAAAAGCAGTTACATACTATATGTATATGTCTGTGTCTATCCCTTTAAATCTGGAGTAAATAATGACAGAATTTTTTGTGTTCCATCCCTTTAAATCTGGCTTCATCTGTACACAGACTCTCACTGGACCTCATTTCTACAGCTGTGCAAATGTGTGTTGTGCTAACCGTTTGATCTGCTCCTCAATCTGCCGCACCAGCAGTGACTCTCCTCCTCCTCCTACTCCTACATGCGGCTCTGGTTCTGTGGTGGGTTCGCTGGAAGGAGGCCCATTCGCCTCCGGGCTGTTTCGACCCAACAGAGAGCGAACGCGTTTGGATCGCATGTCCAGAATAGTGTCGGAGTATCCCACCTCCTCCAGATACCTGATTACAATTACGCACACAGGGTCAACACAAGATAATAACCACTTTTGAGAATGAATGCACAGAAAACACACAGACTTGCGCAATAACTGGCGTCCCTCCTTCCAAGGCATCTGATTGGTCGGTTCAGAGTCTGAATTTGCAGGCCCATTGGGTACTGAAAAAAAGAGTGTTGTAACATCTAACCATACAGCGTTTGTTTTACTGGCTTTATGTTCTTATGTTTTGATAAATATCCATCAGATTTTGTCATTTGATTGTTTTAAATAGCTTTGATTGTGTTTTTACTTGGTTCAGCTTCTGTCTCTGGTTTCTTCTCTCCAGGACTCTGGTCAGTGCCACTTTTCAGCTTCTGGTGTTTGGCCCTGTGATCAAAATGACCAGTAGAGAAAAGCATTTATTGCACATGTTTTTAATTGTTCACATTTAATTGATACTTAAGGATTTTGTGGCCATTATATAGAGAAAGTGGATATATAAAGGAGAATATGAAAGGGAAAAGTGGACCAAACAGAGTACAAATAGCAATTTGTAAATCATTGGGATTTTTATAGAAGTAGAGCACACTATACTTGTAAGAATGGATATAAATATACATTTATTCCATACTTATTGTATATTATTTATTATATTTTTTTATTAATTTGTCAGCCTTATCTCCCAAGTAAGATGATCTTTAAATGTTTTGTCCAATGGCAATTAAAATAAAAGTATTAGTAATAAAATTATTTAAAGCAATATTTAATTAAAATAAAAACTAAAAAGCGAAATGAGAAACAGACAAAAATAGCAAAAAAAAAAAAGTAAATAAACATACCAAAACAAAACAAAAACACACACAAACAAACTGTAAAAAAGCAGGGGAGCTAAAAGATTCTTGAGATCTTGAGATTCCTTCTGGAGATCTAAACTTGTATATCAGTGGGAATTAAAAATAATACTGTCGACTGAGCCATTGGTCCGCATTGCAGACATAACACTGTATTTTTTATACATTAAAGTTCAAAATTGTCAAATAACAAAAAAAATTTAATATTAAAAAATTTTATTAATAATAATAATAATAATAATAATAATAATAATAAAAACACAACAGATAAAAATATATAAAAAGCTAAACAAAAAACAACTGGACAAAGCAAAAACAGAACAAACAACAAATAGGAAAAATTAAACAAACAAAACCAGAAGAAAACAAAACAAAAACAGAAAAATGAAAAAAAAATATATATAAAAATAAAATCCAAAAAAGGAACTAAATAAAACAAAAACAAAACTGTTTTTTAAATAAATAAAAATAAAACAAACTAAAACAAAAAATCTAATAAAATAAAAAATATAAAGCATAACAAACTTTAAAAAAGAAAATTAACAAAAACACAAGAGAAAAAACAAACAATAAAAAAAGAAAAAACAAACAATAAAAAAAGAAAAAGGGAACAAAACAAAAACAAAAAAACAAAAAAGAAAAATAAATAAATAAATGAAAGAAAACAAAAAAGCAAACAACTGCAAGGGAACAAAACAGAAACAAATGAATAAATCAAAAGAAAATAAACTAAAAAGAAAAATGAGACAAACTAAATTAAACTACAAAAAATATAAAAAAGAACAATAAAATAAACAAACCACTAGAGAACAAAACAAAAACAGAACACACACAAAATACAAATTAAACAAACAATAATAAACATAAAACAAACTAAAACAGTAAAATAAAATGCACTAAAACATAACAAAAACACAACAAACAAACAATAAAAATTAAACAAACAAAAAGAAAAAGAAAAAAACTAAAAAGAAAATATGCAAGAGAACAAAACAAAAACACAAGCAAACAATATAAATTAAACAAACAAAAAAAGAAAAAGAAAACACGCAAGAACAAAACAAAAACAGATCAATTAAACAACATTTTTAAATAAACAATTGAAAACAAAACAAAAAAAAATAAAACAAACTAAAGCAAAAAAATAAAACAAACTAAAACTTCAACAACAAAAATGAACAACAATTCAAATGATGAAAAAAAAACAACAAAAAACTAAAAAACACAACAGAAAAGCAAAACAAAAATAAAACAACAGATCAAAACAAAAACAGACTAAAACAAAAATCTGGAGAGTTCTGTGATTATACTATGAGCGGCAGAGACTCATCTGTGTAAGTTTGTGTGTGTGTGTCTGTGTGTGGTTTCACCTCTCCTGTTTGAGTGCGTATTCCAGCATCTTAATTCTCCGCACCAGATCCTGCTTCATGTTCTCCTGACCTTTCCTTTCACCCTGCAGAAATGCCACCTGAGCCTGAGACAAACAGACAGAAGGAAATATGCTTCAGATTCAAACCTCATACATCTGTCAGCAAATAACAGGTTTAGCTCTGGATTTCTGTGATCGAGCCGCCAATGACATTCTTAGAGCAATGGTTAACTAAAGGCCTGCCATTCCACAAGCTTTATTTTAGGCTCTCACTGACCATACTCATGACAGGCAAATATGTTGACGGAAAAGAGACTAAGGGAGAGGAACCACAAACCATTCCTTTTCCAGTAAGTTGTGGACGAGAAGAGAGAGAAAACACATACAAATTGGCCTCAATCGTCATCTAGAGTCCACCATAACACCAACAACAATTAGGGGTGTCAAAATTAATCGTTTCTGCGGTGCACTGCGATGCAGACGCGGACAATTCGGTATCGGTTCAGTAATAATCATAACCGGTTATTACTGATGTCATTTACCTCATATGCGCTCTGTCGCAAGAGAGGCGATCGCGAGTATTTACAGCGCTTTAACAACTTAAAACTCATAAACTGTGCACACTTTCACTGTGTGTGTTTGCTGGATCAGTCTTTCACTGACATATACAACAATAGCCCCTATTTCACTGAGATGGAGAGAATGAAAGTAGCCTACTCCATTTCTCTCTCTCTCTCTTTCTCACACACACACACAGTGGCCCATTTGACCTGCTGGCATGGCTTTTCTTCTCTTCTCGGCTGTTGTACAGCGTTACTTTTGCATACAGAAACGACAGGACCGAGTTTGGACATGCCTGGTGTAAGAGAACTAGACAAGGATCAGAAATTGAGCTGGATATTTATATTTGTTAATATAATTTGCTAAATGCTCGTTTTGTTTAAAGTTACAGTTTATATATCTGACTGTACTAAATGACAAAATTGTCTTACAAATAGTATATAAATATAAATATATTCATACATTTTAATACAAGAAATGCTTCTGTGAAGAAAATATAAAACTGTGTATGAAAAGCACCGTCAATGCACCGTGATGCACCGAAATATCGAATTGAACCGAATCGATGGCATGATAATCGTAACCGAACCGAACCGTGAGACTAGTGTAGGTTCACAGCTCTACCAACAATAGTTACAAAATTAAAGGAACGCTAATTTTACAACTCCCCTAGTGTTAAACTCTAGAGTTTTATGAATCAATTTCTGGGTCTGACACAAGATCTTTTAGCTTCCACGTTTGCCTCACAGCAAGAAGGTTGCTGGTTCGAGCCCTGGCTCGGCCAGTTGCCATTTCTGTGTAGAGTTTGCATGTTCTCCCCGTATTGGCGTGGGTTTCCTTCGGGTGCTCTGGTTTTCTCAACAGTACCAAAAACAAAGGGTATAGGTGAATTAAGTAGGCTAAATTGTCAGTAGTGTAGGTGTGTGAATGAGTGTGTGTGGATGTTTCCCAGTGATTGGTTGCAGCTGGAAGGGCATGCGCTGTGTATAACATATGCTGAACAAGTTGGCGGTTCATTCGCTGTGGTGACCCCAGATTAATAAAGGGACTAAGCCGAAAAGAAAATGAATTAATAAATTAATTTAATCAATCCTCCTTAAAGCATGACTCCTCTGTATCCATATTACTTACTAAGAATGATGGAAAATTTACTGCTATTTTCTAGGTCAATATGACTTGAACTAAACTCGTATTCTGATGCAATAATCAACGAAATCTGCAATCGTAGCATGCTTGCAGCAGCACAATACTATTATGCAGTGCCTTAAACTCTTGTAACCAGAGATTTTTGCGAAATGTAACTGAGCAATTCCATGAAAATGTCAACCTTCTCATGAAAAAAATAAACTTTTGACCAAAATAACAAAACCAATTTAAATAAGCTCTCTCTCTCTATATATATATATATATATATATATATATATATATATATATATATATATATATAAGGTCTATATTTTATTTTTATGATGTGCTCTTGTTGATTTAAGGAAATTGCTTGGTTTATCCATGAAATATAAGGATTGTGCCAATGGTTTATGATGCTGCATTAATTACTGACTTACATTATATAATATCCATATGCTATAACGAGAATTGTGTGTGATTAATTGTGCAACCTGGGCAACGCAGTGCATCGTGCTGTCTCCTCACAGCAAGCTGGTTCGAGCCTCGGCTGGGTCAATTGGCATTTCTGAGTGGAGTCAGCATGTTCTCCCTACGTTCGCGTGGGTATCCTCCGGGTGCCACGGTTTCCCCCACAGTCCAAAGACATGCGGTACAGGTGAATTGGGTTAGCTAAATTGTCCGTAGTGCATGAGTGTGAATTTTATAGATGTTTCCCAGAGAGGTTGCAGCTGGAAGGGCATTCGCTGTGCAAAATCTGTGCTGGATAAATTAGTGGTTTTATTAAGCTAGTTTGATTTTATTTATGCCTGAACTCCACAGTTGAGGGATTAGAAAAAAAGAAATAGATATTTCAATATACTGGTGACATATACTTTCTCGGAGTATATATAAATTTCTTTTTTTTTTTTTCAGCAGATGTCACATCCATAATGCTGGAATCAGCAAACTACAGAAAAGTCAAACTATAAAAAGAAAAATTATCTAAACTCCTTAGTCATTGTTAAGCGAGATGCTAATGGTCTAATCTGATACAATGACATAAGCTTAGCTAAGCTAAAGTGCTTTTGTCTGAACCTGAGATCAGCTGAATGGATTCAGAAATGATGAAACTCAAATCTTTAAGTCTAGTGGAGTTGTAAAATGATCATGTTTTCAACAAAAAAAAAAGATTGACTATGTAACCAAAACCGTTAGCATGAGCATACAACAAACCTGTGCTGCTTTATGCTGTAGTTAATGTAGGCTTTCAGGTAAAAGGCAGTAATGAAGATTTGTGAAAAGCAGCAGCGTACAGGTTTGCAGTTATATTCTTGTTTTTTACTCGTCTCTAGCATATAAATCACACCCCCACACCATCAGTGTAGCTCACACAGCAGATCTGTACATACCACTGACAGCATTATTCAACAACAATAGCTATATTTTAATTTAGCTCAGCTTTTATTCACATTTAAACAAAAAGTCCAAAATTATTTATACTTTTCTCCATAATCAATAGAAAATCCTTTATTGGCCATTACAGCAACCAAACGCTTCCTATTATAGCATATCATCTTTTTCATGTCTCGACTAGTAGTTTTATCCATTCATCTTGATGAGCTTCTTTACTCACTTCAGGTTATAGCGTATCCTTGCCATCACCATGATCTTTAGCTCCCTCCACAGATTCTCAATTGAATTTAAGTCAGGACTTTGGCTGGGCCACAGCAAAGCATGAATGTTTTTGTCTGTTAACCATTTCTTCATCACGTTTGCTGTGTGTTTTGGTCATTGTTAACTGAAATGTCCACTGGTGCCGAAGGACAAGTATCTCTGCAGACTTCCTTCAGGTATTCTGATGTACTGCTCCTTTTTCAAGGTGTCATTTACTATGATTAGCTTGCTTGGTGCATTGGCTGAAAAACAGCCCTAAACAAGGTCTCCACTACCATGTTTGACAGTGGGGATAGTGTTCTTCAGGTTGACGGCTTCTCCTTTTTTTTTTTAAGTCAAATTAAGGTTACATCTTTGTAAACAACCATTTAGTTTTTGTTTCATCTGTTCTTAAAACAGCGTCACAGTGGGTAGCACAATCACCCCACAGCAAGAAGGTCACTGGTTCAAGTCCTGGCTGGGTCAGTTGGCATTTCTGTGTGGAGTTTGCATGTTCTCCCCATGTTTGCGTGGGTTTGCTCCGGGTATTCCGGTTTTCCAAAGACATGTGGTATAAGCGACTTGCGTAGACTAAATTGTCCATAGTCTGTGTGTGTGAATAAGAGTGTATGGGTGTTTTCCAGTGATGGGTTGCAGCTGGAATTGGCATCTGCTGCGTAAAACATAAGCGGGATAAGTTGGGGGTTCATTCCCCGATTAATAAAGGGACTAAGCCAAAAAGAAAATCAATGAATGATCACAAAAAAGAACACCAGAAGTCTTCTTTGTCCAAATGAGCATTTGCAAAGGCCAAATAGGCTTTGTGTGCCTTCTCTAGAGAAGTAGAGTCCTCTTTGATATGCAGAGTCCATTGGACGGTCTGCCTTGAGATGTTGCCATCAGAGCCCAGATTCATCAAGACAGTCTTGGTGGTGATCCTGTTTTACCTCTCTCACTATCCTCCTGACCACCACATGCGTCACTTTTGTCTTTGACCACGTCAGATAAACTTTTTCACATTGGGGAATGTCTTATATCGCATATGCGCCTGAAATTTTATTTATGCAACCTAAAAATATTTTTGGGAGCATTCGCACAAGTGCATAAAATTGTTGTCGTGCGACCAGTTTTCACAGCAAAATGTTCACCATATGCAAGGATTTAAGCCTGGTTTATACATCTGCGTCAAGTGATTGGTGTGTACGTCATGTAGCCATGCATTTATACTTCAGCACGCTGCATGTGCTTCTCTGCAATAACACTTCCGAAATGCTAGCTGGTAGTAGGTGTTTGTTTCTCTGTGTCGAGTTTCTTTGTTGGTGTTTAGTTTTTTATGAAGGCTTCCTAAAATGTGCAAGTGGCTCAAACTCGCTCATTTTGAGGCTGGATTCGGCGGATCTGCAACAACTCTAATCATCACTTGCTGCATCAAGCTTGCGCGGCTCTCAACTCCGCCCACACTCGTCATTGCTACCAAGCAGACCAATCACAGAGCTTGCGCTACGCGTAATTGTGACGCATAGTTACATTTTTTGAGAGGTGTGCGTCAGCGTTGCCGACGGTCACAGCGAGGGTGATGCGTCCTTGCGTAGGCTGCGCCATAGCGTACGGTTGACGCAGAAGTATAAATTAGCCTTTAGGAGGAATTCATGCATTTGGAATCTTTGTACCTAAAAACACCAAACGCAGTGCTCAAAAATGGTTTAAAACAGTTGACATGTCAACTTGCTGCACTAAACAAAGCCCGCAATGCTTGCCCCACCTTCAAGCTCTTCTTGTTGGCC